TAATAACAATAGCATACACGTGCAAAGATATTAAGGGGTACCACTTACAATACACCCTGATATGTCAGATGTGGTCTATTGCACTATATCCATAAATATCATCATCGCTGGTGTTTGCAAATTATGCAAAGACCCCAGACAGTGAAAGAGCCGCTTTAAAGAATTTTAAAAAAATAATAATATTGAAGTTTGTACAACATAACACATTGTAGGCACCGCTTATCTTAGCAAAGATATTTGGTCACCTTTCAGGATTGTGAACTTAAAGAGAAGTCAGGTCCTTATTAACGACCCACACACTCACACTCAGTCTCCCCAGTTACTCAGTCTCCCCACACTCCCAGGGTTGCGCTCACACTCAGTCCACTCACACACAGTCCCCCAGGTACTCACACACAGTCCCCGGTTACTCAGTCCCAGGTTACTCGCACTCAGGTTACTCACACTCAGTCCCCAGGTTACTCACACTCAGGTTACTCACACTCAGTCCCCAGGTTACTCACACTCAGGTTACTCACACTCAGGTTACTCACACTCAGGTTACTCACACTCAGTCCCAGGTTACTCACACTCAGGTTACTCACACTCAGTCCCCAGGTTACTCACACTCAGGTTACTCACACTCAGGTTACTCACACTCAGGTTACTCACACTCAGGTTACTCACACTCAGGTTACTCACACTCAGTCCCCAGGTTACTCACACTCAGGTTACTCACACTCAGGTTACTCACACTCAGTCCCAGGTTACTCGCACTCAGGTTACTCACACTCAGTCCCCAGGTTACTCACACTCAGGTTACTCACACTCAGTCCCCAGGTTACTCACACTCAGGTTACTCACACTCAGGTTACTCACACTCAGTCCCAGGTTACTCACACTCAGTCCCCAGGTTACTCACACTCAGGTTACTCACACTCAGTCCCCAGGTTACTCACAGGTTACTCACACTCAGGTTACTCACACTCAGGTTACTCACACTCAGGTTACTCACACAGGTCTCACACTCAGGTTACTCACACTCAGGTTACTCACACTCAGTCCCAGGTTACTCGCACTCAGGTTACTCACACTCAGTCCCAGGTTACTCGCACTCACACTCAGTCCCCCCAGGTTACTCACACTCAGAGGACACGAACTGTCCCACGGCTGCTGACGCCCCCCCGCTCTCCACGAATTGGACCTCAGACACGATGATATTGTCCTCCAGCACCGAGCCGCATCCCGTGCACACAGCGTCCCCCCGGGCGGCGTCCACATCGATCTCCGAGCAGCCGCAGCTCCGACACACCCGGCCACCGCCACTCATCGTGCTCACACTCAGCGCCCGCTCACACTCACACAGTCACTCACACACGGCTGCGGGCCAGCTGCTACAAATCTCGCGAGATCTCCGAGCCGGGAAACGAGATCTCCCAGCTCCCTCCGCGAACTCCGCGCTGTGCTACCAAGTCACCGCCAGGTGGCGCCATTACATCAGCGCTTTATATACCGGGGGGACATGTCGCCGGCAGCACGTGGTGACGCCATGTTTCTGGTGGATGACAAACTGTAACATTGTGTCCATTAATGTTCTATGGTTCCATTCTTATTAAGGGTTAATTCACTCAGCAATGCATTTCATGGAATTGGAAACATTCAAGCAGAAATAGCCAAGGTGTAAATTAATGAGTTTTACAAATTGTATTTATTTAAAAAAAAATTGTGAGGTTTATACACTTATTCACAACTTTGTCGTTTCCTGATGCCACAAACAGCTACACAGCTACATAGTTACATAGCTGAAAAGAGACTTGCGTCCATCAAGTTCAGCCTACCTCACATTTGTTTTTGCTGTTGATCCAAAAGAAGGCAAAAACCCAGTTTGAGCACTTCCAATTTTGCAACAAACTAGAAAAAAATTCCTTCTTGACCCCAAAATTAGAAATGATATCCCTGTATGTTATGTTTTTGTAAGTATTTATCCAATTGCAGTTTAAACATCTGTAGTGACTCTGACAAAACCATCTCTTCAGGCAGAGAATTCCATATCCTTATTACTCTTACTGTAAAAAAACCCTTTTCTTTGCCTTAGATTAAATCTCCTTTCTTCCAGCCTAAATGTGTGACCTCATGTCCTATGTATAGCCCTGTTTATGAATAGATTTCCAGATAAAGGTTTGTACTGGCCCGAATATATTTGTATAAAGTTATCATATCTCCTCTCAGGCGCCGTTTTTCCAAACTAAACAGATTTACATTTTTTAACCTTTCTTCATAACTAAAATGCTCCATTCCTTTTATCAATTTTGTAGTTCGTCTCTGGACGTTTTCTAGTGCCTTGATATCTTTCTTTAGAACAGGCGCCCAAAATTGCACAGCATATTCAAGGTGTGGTCTTACCAGCGATTTATAAAGAGGCAAAATTATATTTTCATCCCGAGAATTTATGCCCCTATTTATACATGACAAAACCTTACTGGCCTTAGCAACTGCAGATTGACATTGCATATTGCTGCCTAATTTGTTATCTATAACAATTCCGAAATCCTTCTCGTGTGTGGTTATCCCTAATTCACTACCATTTAGTGTGTAAGTTGCTTGTGCATTCTTAACCCCGAAGTGCATAACTTTGCATTTCTCTACGTTAAATTTAATCTGCCATTTTAGTGCCCAGTCCCCCAATCTATCCAAATCCCTCTGTAGCAAAGCAATATCCTGCTCACATTTTATTACTTAACAAAGTTTTGTGTCATCTGCAAACACTGATACATGGCTTTCAATGCCTATTTCAAGATCATTTATAAATATGTTAAATAGAAGCGGTCCCAAAACAGAACCCTGAGGCATACCACTTACCACTTTTGTCCAGCCAGAAAATTTATCATTAATGACAACTCGTATTCTATCCTTAAGCCAATGTTCTACCCAAGAACAAGAATATTCATCTAGACCAATTTCTTTTAGTTTGAAGACTAACCTATTGTGAGGAACCGTATCAAATGCCTTGGCAAAATCCAAGTAGATCACATCCACTTCAACAACCTGATCTATACTTCTACTTACTTCTTCGTAGAATGCAATTAGGTTAGTTTGACATGGCCTATGTTTCATAAAACCATGCTGATTATTGCTAATAACAAAGTTCTTCCCAATGAATTCCTGAATATTATCCCTTAATAGCCGTTCAAATATTTTCCCAGTTACAGAAGTTAAGCTCACAGGTCTATAATTTCCAGGCAAGGATTTTGAACCCTTTTTAAATATAGGAACAACATCTGCCTTCCTCCAATCCTCCGGTACAACACCTGAAACAATAGAATCTTGAAAAATTAAATACAGAGGTTCACTTATTTCCCCACTTAGCTCCTTAAGTACTCGTGGATGAATACCGTCAGGCCCCGGAGCTTCTTTAATAGCTGTAGCACCTTGTCTCGAGTTATCCAATCACAAGTTATCTGCCAGTGTTTTGCAGCAATCATTTGCATATCTCTTGCCATAGGATCCTCATGAATATATACTGAAGAAAAATAGTTATTTAAAATTTCTGCTTTTTCCTGGTCTTCATTAGCTAATAAACCAAACTCTGTTTCCAGTGTACCTACACTTTCATTTTTTGTTTTTTTAGAATTGATGTACTTGAAAAAATTTTGGGGGTTGGTTTTGCATTCTTTAGCTATCAATGTCTCATTTTCTAGTCTAGCCACTTTAATTGCCTTTTTGCAAGCGTTATTGGCTTCCTTATATCTTAAATAGGATGCCTCTGATTTGTCTGATTAATCCTGTACATCTTGTCGTGCACATTATTTCTGCAATGTTGCACACAGGCATTCGTTATGCACACAGCAATGCAGGGGTTAATATGATTTATTTAGTATTTAGAAAATTGGGCAGACTAGATGGGCCGAATGGTTCATATCTGCCGTCACATTCTATGTTTCTACGTTTCATATCTGGCGTGGCCGGCCCAGCATGGACATTTAAAAATAAGAATTAGAAACTAGTGAGATTTTCAAAAGATAAATAGTACAAATAAACACTATATTTAATATTTGAGTGCTCTCACCACACACGATTGTATTACACTATATTTAAGGTAACTGTTTAGTTACATAACTCACGTGTGACAATTCAGCTTTGCAGTTTGGGCATTTTTTTTTTTAATCTGTACTTATTTGTTTTTAAAATAGTGTATTATCTGAAAGTACAGGCCGTTTAGTTTTTACATATATCCATGAAGATGTTGCGTTGTCGAGGATACAGGAAGAGTGCTTCTGTTGAACATTCATTTTATGGAGCACTAGAAATATTACAACATATACCTTTAGTGACATATAACTATAGACATTGGGCTTGGTAATAAATTGGCCAAAGAGGGACACTTGGTGCAGCCAGGTCGGCTATTCAGAGATATTTTGGGGGACTTTATGACCTACTGACAAACACTTATATGACTGAAAATGTAATTGCGCACTGTATCTTATTTACAATGACTGATTCCTAAACATAATCATTTTTTTTAACACATTCTTTTTTGCCAGCATTATTGCTGTAAAGTCTTGTTTTGTGCTCATTTATACCAGCAGAGGGACATGGGTCCAAAACAGGGACCGTCACTCCTAAATAAGGACACTTGGAAGATGTAAAAAATTCATGGCGCAAATATAAACAATAACATTGACAAGATTGCCCCAACAGAAAAGTATTGTAAGCCACCTGTATCTCCTGATTTACCTGTCTGAAGGATTCCTCTCCCAATGATAAATATCTCATGCTTAATAACTTTTACAGACCACTATCAGTAAACGAAAACACAAATATTTACAGGCAATATATATATGCATATAGTTCCTTAATCACAATGCAGCTATTTCTGCTACATAACAGACAGTGCAACTCCAGCTGCTAATATATATATATATCGAAATTACTCAAAAATTCATCATATCTTGAGTTACTACCGAGGAGTAAATCTTTATCACTCACGTGAAATGTGTGCTCATGGCATCTGTTTTTTTATTCTGTGTATTATGAAATATATATATCATACCCTCCGGTAACAAATGTTAAACCAAAACAAGGCGTTAGAATTTTATGTTTCATATCAAAGTAGCTTCAGGCAGAGAAGTGATTAAGAGTCAGGTTATTTATATAATATACTGAGATACATTCTATACAGAACATAAATTATACCATTTAACCTTTTCATTGACACAAGACATACAGTTACACAGTTAATGCAGTTTATAAAATACATGAAGCCATCTGGCTTCCTCTATTTATTGGACCACTAGCTGATGCCCCCATAAGATCCATAAGACTTTTTCACAGGTTTCTTTCAGAGGAATACAGACATTTCTTCTAAAATAAAGAGCAAGATATAACTTACCTGGGTGAACGTTATCTAAGACAGGGGTGCCCCAAGAGTTAGATCTCCAGATGTTTTAAAACTACAGCTTTCATGATGATTTTCCATAGTAAAGGTATGCAAAGCATCATGGGATTTGTAGTTCTACAACATCTGGGGATCTACCTTTTGGGCACCCCTGATCAAAGACAAATGGAATTGTTATACCATGATATCACATCTTACCTGCCCTAGCTAGCAATGGTATACATACTAAATAAATACAATTTGCAAACAATTAATGATTTCTAACACATGTTGTTAATTGGATGTAAACAGCGCATACACGTATATTCAATAAACTGGGCATTGTCAGGAATTGGCCAGGAAATGTTAACTTTTAGTCCAAAGTTGCTGAACTAGAAAAATGATCCAGCTATTTTCAAGTTCAGCTATTTTGGTTTGAAAAGAATAATTCCTAGATCAGTTCCCCAAAATTCCCAGTTTGGTGAATAATCATGGTTATGGTAACTACGTAGGACCCTAATATCACTCTGACGTAACGTCATCCACGTCTGAGTACGCAGCTTCTGTCGTAGCTCTTGAAATAACAGTACTCTGGCGGCCTGTCCCCGGACGGCCATTTGAGTGTCTTGAAGAGTGACTGCGAGAATAGAAGGATGCCGTACTTTTTTTAGGTCTTATTTCAGGGTCCTCGTCCTCTTCAATGCCTAGTGGGACGAGGGTGTAGGGGTTAAAGTTTTTCCGTGGCTCCCCGAGTATTCCAATCCTATGTGAAAAGAGAGTTAAGTTAGTAAAACAATATAAACTGGATCTTGTTGGATCACGTTTGAAAACATTTGGCACATAAGCAAACTCTTCCTGAATTCGCTGACTCAATTATATTGCATTTCTCAACACATACGATACTGAACATTTCTTGCTGATATTCGAGTCCACTTTTACCCCTTTTAGGGAAGCTATAAACTACAATAAGACATTATAAAAGACACCGTCTGTAATTGCCATGAATATGCAGATATATAAATGCCCCATATTGACGGAGCTCAAAATATCTTAAATTTTATGTTATAATTTTATACAGATTGGAAAAGCCTATCTATGCCATACTCTTCTGGTCATATTAAGTCATGATGGACTCTGAGCACCATCAAACCACTTACAGATTACACCACTTATAGGTCACCGTAATATGAAACTATCCAGAAATAGGAAGGAAGGACAATTTCGGGGATAATCACTAAAGCGACAATTCAAAGTGAATTTCAAATTTAAGGAAAATGGAGGTGAAATTGATGCAGAGCTGATTTTTCAGCTCTTTTGATCTTAAATTTGGAATTCACTTTGAATTCACATTTAGTGAATAACTGCTAATTTTAATATCAGAAAATATGTTTTGATTACACAAAGAGTTGCGGATGTATAAATCAGCGGTTTCCAAACTGTGTGCACACAAGGGAGCTGCAAAATATTTCCCGTTGCTATAATCATAGCACCGGGAACTGTGCGTCACTCTCCCCTGCCGGCTCTGCAGGAACGGAGGGGAGATCAGAAATCTCCCTCTCCGGCTCGCTCGCAGTGTAACACTGGCAGCCAGCAGGGGATGGAGAGAGAACACAGGGGAGCTCTAACCTGCAGCTCCGCCGGGTTCTCCTCTTGCGAGCTCTGAGCATTGCTGTTACCATGGCAACTTTCAGAATCTCGCGAGAGTGAACTCTAGCCTCAGGAGCTGCTAGAGTTCACTCTCGCCACTTGGACTACCAGGGATTCTCCACCGGACCACCAGGGATAAGTACTGCCCCCCCCTCCCAGGCAAAGATAAGCAGGGAGGTGGGGTATGAAAATAATTGTTTTTAATTAAAAATATATTTATATATATGTGAATTTGCCCTCCTACCCCCACAGACCAAAATAACGCACCCTATACACACACACACTGAAACCTCATACACAAACACAGCCCCACATACACACACACACACCACCCCTCACACACACACTACATCCTTCATAAACACACACACACACACTACATCCTTCACAAACACAATGCATGCCCATACACACACTGCACCCCTCACACAAACACACGCACTGCACCCCTCACACACACACACACACACACACACACACACACTACTGCCCCTATCCCCTACTACAGCCCTTATCCTGACAGATCCCAGGTAAGTTGTCAAACTGTTCTTTTATACAGTTTGACTACTTACTCTGAGAGGGCACTACAGCACTACTGGCACCATAACCACTACAAAGTGCAGTAGAGGTTATTGTGCCTGGATTGTTTCTTTAAAGGTTCTGGATTAGGCTCTGGATCTGCGCATTTCTGCCGTACAGGTGCCCAGTATATGCCGCAGCGCTGTACATATATACAACATATAAAATTGTTTTGACCTGGGACGCCTTGGAAAAATATTGAAATATTAAGGGCAGCTTGAACCTAAAAAGTTTGGGAACCACTGGTATAAATTTTTTGAATGTCACTAGTCCTGCACAAGTTCTTCTCAATCTTTCGGATGCTTTTAATATTGTGGATCACCCATCATGTGTGGATTATTTTGTGTCTTGATTATGCCAAACTCCTCTTCATCAGTCTTACACATGTGCAAAGGTCTCTGTCAGTGTGATTCAACTGACTTTTTTCACTAGTCAGCAACTAAATGGTTCCTCTGTCTGAGACTATAGGACTATATGCAACAAGATAATAGAGATTTCTACTGTTGCATGAATCAAACTCGTATCCTCAGACGGTTGGGGAGTGCTAAAGAAGCTGAATAAGCTCAGAAAAACAATCAAAAGTACGTCTTACTGATGTATAACAGGGTTAAAGAAAATTCCCAGATTGTCTGTAGGCGCAGAGGGACCTTTTGGATGGAGGCCATGTTGCTGGAACAGATATTGCGATTGCTCCTTCAGCGTTGGCATCAAAGAAGCAAGGAGTGGGGAGCGTTGGGTAATAATGCTTTGAATTGCAGGGCGTCTTGGATTATCCCTCCTATTCCCCCCCAAAAAAAGAGGTAGAGTAGTTAATACAAATCAGATAATAGCTATTGGTTATAAAGATTATTTACAAGGCTTGTCACGGTGTCTCACAGAATTCCTACATATTTTCAATGCAGTTTCGTCCATAATTTGCTAATTTGCCCCATTTCTTTTGTACCTTTTATCCTCTTTCTTCCTGCCTTCTCTGTCACACCTGCATGTGATATATTATCCGGCCATTTCTTTGTTGCTGGTCATTCACTACAGTGAGGATTGTTGTGAATTCAAGCTGAATTTCAAATTTAAGGCAAAACCTGGAAAATTTTTCCAATTCATCTATGGTTCCGGTTTGGCTCTTTTTGCCTTACATTTGAAATTCAGTTTGAATTCACACTGAATTCTCAGCAATACTCATTTTAGTGAACAAATCTGCAAATCTCTGTATATAAAATTCACTCCGATTTTGTAAAAAAAATAACCTTTAGTTAAAAAAGTTTTCCAGGAAATCACCCCTATTGTTCACCATTCAATAACTATGAAATTTCTTCCTACAAACTAGGGGATAAGAGAATAAACAGATGATAGACTTATATGTGTCTACTATCCTCGGTTTAGTCGGGGGTCCTGGGGACCTCTGCCCCTAACAAATCAAGATGAAACGGCCCACATAGTGTGAAAAGTGGGGTGAAGCCATCGGATTACCCCCTGAGATAATTTAACATTTAGAAATCTACACACTGGGATACAGAGTTTTAATAAGAAGAGAATATAAGGGAAATGATAATGACTAATACCTGTTAAGAGCATAGGTTGTAGATTTTCGCAGTTTCTTGTCTTCAACGGACAGGACTCTACTTTGCGGATCTGGGACATTTTTCGCCCTAAGGGCAGGATTAAACGTATTGGATCGCAATATCCTGCCAATTTCAGTCTGGATTAAGCTCAGCTCCTTGCGTCGGAACACCACCCAGGCAACATAGATACAGAAGCCGTAGAGGAACTGTACAAGATAAACAGAGAACGGAGAGCAAAATCACAATGTGGTCTGGGTACAGCGTTTCTGACCCCTTAGCCCTGCGATGTTTAACATTGCAGTTTTAGAGAAACTGTAACGTTTTTATTCCAGGGTTAGGACTGGCTTTAGTGACAGCCTGCCAGACAGTCACCAGACGAGCTTCCTGCAGTTTCATGAAGTTTTACTCAGTCAAACAATGCTGCACAATCTCACGCTTTGCATGAGGACGTCCAGCGTGTTGCAAAAAAACCCCATAGAAAAAAAGATTGATTCAATGCTTTCCTACGGACAAGACCTAAGGTGCATGGCGCTCGCCACGCATGTGCATTCAGTTCCCCCTTGAGATGGCATCGGTGGAGGCAGAGATATCGATTATATATATATAGAGAGAGAGAAATGTCTGTGTTTCTTTAAATCTTAGAGCAGGAGTCATTTCGATGTGATATCAATCACCTTGTTCTACTTTGAGTGAGCTAAGTCAATACTTTACATCAAGATAATTCTCTATACAAATTGTACAAAGGAAGGTACACAGGGACATTTTGCATTGCAAATCACATATTTTGTGCCAAGTCAAAACTAACTTATTGTTAGGAATAAGGAACTCTATTAACAATCACGTACTCATTAAAAAGGAGAAAGATCAAACTAATTTCATAGCACTTTTCAATATTATAAATGGGGGAATTTAACAACACAACAGACAAACTACTACAAATTCTACAAGGAACAATAAGTCGATGAGGACTCGCACGTACATACATCGCTGGCAGTCTCTTATGCCAAGCACGTATTATCGCTTTCATAAAGTCTTTGCATTTGGAGAAACACATCGTCTGCCTATTTCTATCCTGTTATCATTGTGCAAATATGTTTGTTTTTTTTCTTCATTGTAACAGCCAGGAGAAGGAGGTTGTAGATGGCTCCGATGTCACTTAGAGCAATGTTGTTTTATCGTACTTTTATATAGTAGCTAAATGTCCATTATTCATATAAATGTTATGGTAGTAATATTAAAATAAAATGTATCTGGTCATGAAGGGGTAAAACCTATGTAACAAGAGACATGTCCATGGAAAACATTTACTGGTTTGAATATCGTGCAGAGGAAGCGGCCAATGGCCATATAGTTGTATGGGAAGCCAAACAATGGATTGGAAGGTGCCAAGAAACAGGATTGTTTTGTAAATTCTCTGTGGAGTATTGAAGGAGGACTTTAGCTGGGCAAAATTGTGTATTTACTCATAACAGAACAGAATGTTTTCTGTCGCCATGATCAGGAAACTGTGAGGGTTTGATGCCAACATCAATAAAAAATAAAAAAAAAGCTTAGTAGCAGTCATCATAACGTGTAAAACACAACAGGCTGACTGATCATGCTGCTAGGGTGTGTGCCCCCCAGGGCTGCTGAAACAGTCTGCCCATTGGTATAATGTTTGAAGGGACTTCCCACTGCTCAAATACTAAATAAATATAAATCAGTGTTTAGTAGATATACCCCAAACGAAAACGTGCATATTTTCCATTGGAGTTATATCTAAAATCAGCTTGCAAAACCTGCAGTTCTCTTGTCTGCAGCCTTTGCAAGCTATCCCCTTTAACCCCACCCAGACTTTCTGTGGCTGTCCAATCACAGACTTCCCAATACATTTCAATGAGAAGACTTTGTAAGTCAGGTGCTCTGAGTAATTGCTGCCTCTTGAGGTCAGCTGCATTGAGCTAACAAAACCAGGAAGTAACATTGTCGGTTCTCTGTTTGAAATCCAAGGGGGTGTTACCAGGTTAATTTATAAAAGTGTAAATTTCTATTGAAATCTGAACTTTTTGCAAAATGAAATAAAGAGGACACACTCTTCACACATGAAGCTTTACAGCAAGCTAAAGTTGTTTAGGGGTTTAAAGAAGGACCTACTCAATAAGATACAGCTGCATAATATGCAAATAAAACAGACAAAAGTTTTCAATTAAAGGGGCACCAAGTAGTAATGCAGTAAAAACAACAAATTAAAGAGACATAGCATCTGTTATGAAGTCATACTATTTGAAAATAATGCTTTGTTACTTGTTTTCCTTACCTCGTAGAACATGCGATCGCTTTTTGATGTGGATCCTTTACTTCTGCAAAACATATATTATCGTAAATGTACCCTAAATATAGCGAACACTTTTAATACAAACTTAAATGCATAGATATGCTTTTCTTTTATTCGTTTACAATCCTTTTGGGGGATTTAAAGGGGCACTGTATACTGACGGTCTCCTGGCACTGTCACCCTTGTTTATAAAGTAACGGTTTAATATCAGTTCTGATTCTTGCTGATGCAGAGAGCCCCTATCTCGGCCGCATTGATAATTAAGAAATAGCAATTCCTGTGTGGTCAATGTCATTTATCTAGATTGCATGGATTGGCTGAGAGTGCTGGGGGTGGATTTGTTCAGCGCTCTCATAAAATGTCACTGTTGTATAAAATTGACATTGATAATTTGGAAGAATTAATTTCTCATTATCAAGGCTGCAAATTGAGCAGTCTAAGGTTGTAGGAATGAACCCCAGTTTCTATTAAACCATTCTTAAACACTTTGATATTAAACTGGGGGGATGATGCTAGCAGATGATAGACAACCTAACCACTGCAGCGAGTTGTAATGGTTATACTGCGCAGTCTTTTTTTATGCAAGGCGTTTCATGCTTCCACTGGTGGGATAATTAGTCGTCAGTGGAAATGCAAATGCACAGAAAAAAGGTTTTCCGTCTATGGTCGATCTGTCATGAGTTAAACAATATCTTTAACAGACTTAGCTAGCCAAACCAGTCCCACAACGGAACCCAAACAAATATAAATATTAAGGACCCCCCATGAACAGATAAGTTACACATATTGGTGCCCCCCCACCCCCGTCCCCCCAATGAGAAAAATATAACAACTTTTAATAATCTAAAGCAAGGAATCCCATAGTGTAACCCCATCACGTCCTTACAAGTAGCCCTAACCGTTCCACTAGACAAACTTAGAAAACTAATATTTGTACATTATGTACATGTGTTTTGTAGTAATTTTAATCAATATATTTTTTTTTTTTCCTTATCTTAGTATTGGCCTAAAATTTAATATTTTAGCAAATAATCTTACCCCCAATGTAATATTTTTGGATGTGCTTTGTAAAGATTTATTTATCAAAATATTAAAACATCACGAAATATATAGTATATAAAAAAAAAAATCAATATTTCAAAACGTGGAAATATTTAAATATCAAAAAACTTTTCCAAATCGTGAACCATTTGAAAAGCTTGTCAAAAAATCTTAAATTGGATAATGGAGCTAAGCAAGAAAAATAAAGTGGGGGGAGTGGGTCACGGAAATGGGCTCTTTTTCAGTTCATCTGCCTCAGACGGATTTTGGAAGAAGCTGCTGTCCGTACATGCAAAAAAAAAAAAACGTATGGTCCCATCAACAAAAAGATGTGGGTGTTGTACGAGCATGTAAAACAAACCTCATCCAAGCAAAGAACAAAAAGTATCGTACTTCTATCCTCAAACGAACTCTGTTCAGGGCGTTGGGCAAATATGTAAACGGTTAATAAACACTGCCAAGCACAGTGCCAGCTTTGAAATACAGAAATTGAATAGGAGTTTTGCCAAGGAATAAAAAAATATATAAAAAATGTATTATATACTCTTAAAGAGAAATTATAACTTGAAGCAGCAACTGTAGAAATAGAACAATTGCAAATTGTAGATCTAAGTAGTTGAGTTGGTAAATAGATTAACTAGAACTTTGTATTTGATTTATGCATGAAAAATTTACTTCGTATATATTGTATCATATATTAGAGAGAGCGACTGCTCATGCGCGCAAATATGCACGGGCAAAAACGTATAGTGATATCTATCACTGAGGGTTTATAACTGCATTCTTTAAAATGGCTGCAATTATAAGAATCGTGCCACGAGAGAGAAGTCCTCTTTGTACCAAAATCTGAACTTAGAACAAAGGTTGTTATGGTGTTAATTCTCTTCAAAATTAAACTACAGAGACAGCCAACTTCAATTCGCCATGTGCCAGTTCAGGCAGTAAACAGGAAACTCCAGTTTTGCTGCAAAGAAGTAAGAAGTGGCTGATATTTCAAAAAACTAAATAAACGCGAAAACACGTGTTTTCATTTTATCATTAACACAGTATTATCATTGTCGCCAGCGTGTGCTTGTATACAGGAAATAATAAATGGCGCAGATATTTGCGTGAACCTAAACTTATGTAACTGGAGAAAAATGTGTTCATACTTCCCACAAGCCATGTGATGCTGATGAGTTAGTTCCAGTCCAAGTACTAAGGCGCAGTATGTTTGAGCGAAATGTTTTAGAGCAAGTTCAGTTCTTGACGAAATCGCAGCCATCGCCTTGCGTTCCACAACATTCAGATTCCTAAAAATAGAATGCGAATGTTAACAGATGACATTTAGCAGATTGTGTTTGTTTTAACCTTTTCACAGTCAGAAATCTGCGTTCTAAAAGAGTTCCTCCATTAATTATCAATACATCGTTACTGATATGATTAAAAGATTATGGGGCTGATCTACTAAACACCAAACTACCATGAAATAAAAATTCAATTCCAAACTTTAAGCAACAATAGTACTTGTTACAGCTTGGCCATTAATGAAAAGTTTGCCAATCTGTTTCCAATTCAGCAGCAGTCTCTGATTAGTAAACAATAAACCAATATTTTGCAAAGCTTTAAAGAATTGTTAACTATAACACTATGACAACTTCCAGTTAATTAAACTAGCATACAAACAGTCTTTATGTGCCTCCCTGATGATCCGTAGGAGTGAAACTTGCATTGAGTGCGTTTCGACACTCATTCTTTTTTGGTTTTATTTCCTCTAATTTGTACGTGTACTTAGGATAATCCAGTATATTTGTTAAGACAACTTAAACCACAATACCCAGTAGGCTCACATCAGTCCCCACTCCCCGGGTGTATGTTGCAATTATAATACAGGGTTAACTTTTTCCTATTTCAGATTTAATTATGATCTTTACATTTTTATGATCCTGTACATTTTGGAGTTTGACTTTACATTTCGATAGTGACCCATGGTGTGCTTCAATAGATGCATTAAGATATTGATACTAGTACTCGGTATCTTTTTTTTAGGACATTTGGTTAATGCGGAGATTGGTTTATATATAATTGTTTACTCTTAAACTATTATAAAACAAACATGTTCCCGTGCCTTTACCCTCTGGTTACGGATTATTAAGAAGCTAACGCAATACAGGATTCTCCGCTGAATGTTTCCTAGTCAGTGCGGTTCCTCATAATACTTATCCTGACATAGAGTTTGGACGATAAACTAAAATAGACCTCAAGGGAATTAAAAAATATTAAGAGGATATTTTTAGGCGCGTTCACAAATTTATCAAGTAGAATTCACAATCTAGTGTATATCGTCTTATTAAGATTTAGAGAAACTGCTATGTTTATGAATGGGTTAAGCCTTCCCCCTATTCCCTCTAGTGGCTGTCTCATTGACAGCCACTAGAGGCGCTTGCGTGCTTCTCACTGTGATTTTCACAGTGAGAGCACGCCAGCGTCCATAGGAAAGCATTGTAAATGCTTTCTAGGGGACCGGCTGAATGCGCGGCATGCCGCCAGCTGCGCATTCAGCCCAGGAGGAGGAACGGAGGAGGAGAGAAGGAGGAGAGCTCCCCGCCCAGCGCTGGAAAAAGGTAAGTTTTAAACCCTTTCCCCCTTCCAGAGCCGGGCGGGAGGGGGACCCTGAGGGTGGGGGCACCCTCAGGGCACTATAGTGCCAGGAAAATGAGTATGTTTTCCTGGCACTATAGTGGTCCTTTAATAACAAAGGTTAACGTTCAATCGAACTTGATAACAGCTACCAAAAACATATTCTATCGGTTATCTTCCAAGTTTCCAGAAGGCTTGATAGCCTTCTTATACCCTACATATAGCTGGTGTTCCTTCTAAATATGCAGCTTTTTCTCTTTTTAAATGCTCAGTATTTAAACTCTTCTAAATAAATATCCTCTTATCCAGCACGAATATTCCGATGTTCCCAGTAGCAGTTTATCAGAAGATTCCTTGGTCAAATGTTCTACCCCATCTGTTATATTATCATGTCATCTCCCAGACAGCTATGTGCAGGACCGGCTGTGTCCCCCCACACCTCTTACAGTTGCATTGTGTAACCGTGAGGGAATATATCTTGATTCCAATGTTCAGCGTAATTAAATTAAGGCCTACATCTGATGCTCTTTATATATAATGAACTTTTTCACTGTAAAATGCTGTATATGTGTCAGCATAAGTTGCGTTCTCTGTGTATTCTAGGCCCCACCGGAGCACTTATTTTGAGAAACTGTACATTGTGTGACTGTTTGCTAGCTAATTTTGTCTCTGCGACCTTCCTATCTTATGAAATATGTAACCACATATTGTTTTGTAAACTAATTTTATATCTTATGAAATATGTAGCCACATTAACTAATATTATCGTTTGACTTTCCTATCTTTAACTACATTATTTATTTTTAAACCTTCAAGCAAAGCTGCAACAATATTGTGTATAAATACACCCTACTTTGAATAAATGAACAGGAAGTAATTCTGGACTCACAACCATTTGTGTCGTGTGTTAATTGCTTCTCCAGGCGCCTGATATAATTTGAGTTCCCCTGAATATAAGTATTGGATCCTTTGTCCATGTCATAACGCCTGCGAATTGAAGTCCCCCAAAGGATCTTACCTGTTTGTACAATGTGGCTGTGTAGTGATAAACCCTATACAATGGTTTAACGTGTCATGGGTCAATGGTGTTGCACATAGCGTTGTAGTATTTCCATTCTAGGTTTCTCTTATACAGCTCCCTCCTGGATATTATGGGATACCGGGGACCCTCTAATTGTTAAATATACCCATCTTACAGCCCAGTCATGTCACTGCCCAGATCCAGGGGAAATTATAAAACTACTGTATCTGTGTGTACAGGGACACAAATATGGACATTGACCAAGGCATTCAATGTGGGTTAAAAAACATTTTTCACAAATTCTTAATAGTTTTTATAGAGCAAAGGATGGGTATATATAAATGTGATTTTAAGACGAAAATCTACTTGCCTAGAACGGTTTACAAACTTTAAAAAAATTCAAAAGAAATCATTTATAATTGATTAATACAAAGTTCCCTTTAGCCGATGGATGCCTAATAGAGGAGAATTATTGTTATTTATAAAAGCAATATATTACACATTACACTTCATATTGTATTTAATGAAAGACTGCATATGGATCTTACGGCAGTAAAGGCTTGGGTTTTCTTTCGATAGCCTGTTTTTCCAAATAACAAGAAAGGTAGGACAGAAGGGCCATGAGGAACTCATCCAAATGTTGGCTTCTAAAACAGGAAGGAAAAGAAGGATGAGTTTCCAGAAATAATAAATGGAGTTTATACGCTTAGATTAAAATAAAAAATGCTGCGGTTTATATGTTTATACCACAGTACATAGTATATAATAGCACAGTCAGCAACGGGTGTATTAAAGGGACACTACCACTCTACTACACTGCACTGCGATTACATCCAACTGCTGGGTGAGCAGTGTGCAATGTTTAGTGCTGGAATGCTATCAATAGCATAGGATTGCATGTTATGTGGTTCTTTAAGGTAGAGTTACCATAACCACTATGTTTTCTGGAACATATATCCCATATACATATTGATGGGCAGTGTATGAAAATGGTTCCCTTTCAGTGTTAAACTGTTTTTAATGTTTTTTTGTTTTTTTTATAATTTAAGTTTATTGACATTTTTCAAATACAAAAACCAAAACAAAGACAAATACGGATATATCTTGGTTTTTAATGTTTTAATGTTAAAAGAGAGTCCATAGCCCATACCCTCGATTCTGCTTGTGCTAATGAGGAAATATGTGCATGAGCAGCAATGGGCTTGTGATTGGCTGTGAGTGTCAGCTGACTGTTTTCCGTCTATCACAGCACCCATTGCTGGTATGATTTGGTATGGCTAAAATTAAGTGTGTAATCTCTGTGGGTGGCTAGGGAGCCTTATTTAGTGTGGAACTGCTCAAATGTGGTTTAACACAGAATGGAGGGACAGTCCAAAAGGACTACAGGCACTATAACCACTTTAATGAGTTGAAATGTTTACAGTCCCTTTAAAGGGGATTCCATGGTAATTTTTTAGTTTGAGTTTTTTACAATTTTTTTAATATTAAAAGTTAGAATCCATAATTCCGCCAGTCTGCCTCTTACCTTATAGCCTCTGAAAATGAGTTGCTATAAACACCATCCTCTTTCAGTAAACTTATGGCAACATCTGGAAAAGAATTTAAAAAAAAATCTATTAAGGAAAATTAATTTTAAAAAATATATATTATTTGAAAAAAAATATTATTGGACTAAAATAACGTATTTTGATTGTTGATTTATGCAACAAAAGAACATACAAAACAATGCTTTATCTAGACTCATTATCTTTCTTCCAGAGAAGGTGTAGGTGCATTGATATGGACACAATGAATAGAAAGTTCTAATGCTGGCTAGATCAGAAATGGCTACTGAGTCCATACTGAATGCAAATACAAGCATGCTGCATTTCTGGGTGATCTGTGCAGCCATCTTCCCAAGATAGATTTCCCATGATGTAGTGCACTGGTGCACACTCATGAAAGCTCATTTGCATTAAATGCCAGCCTGTGTGATTCAAATGGCAAATAAAAATAGAAGGGTATTTAAGTGTAAAACAAATTAATCCATATCCAGCTCTTTGCCCACCATGGTTTCTGATTGACAGCTGAAAGGAACAGGTATATCTTACATTATGCTTCATGCACTCCTTCTGGGAGGCCACATAGGTCATTTTCTTCTGGCACGACAGGAAGATGGAAAAAGATGGCGGCACAGAGGGAGGAAGAAACAAAAGTGAGTGGAGTGGACCTTTGTTCCCTTTCTACCCATGAGGCCAAAAAACAGACTCCTAAACTATATCTGATTTATGGAGAGCAAAAAAATGGGTTGTAATAGTATACTGAGAACGGACAGCAGCTAAAATAGCCTGCCCTTCGGTGGGTCCCCGCTCAGAACTCAAGCTGGTTTTAGCTCATCTTGTGCCATTACGGAAAGAACATCTCTGAAACATATCAGACTGGCCCCACCCATATGGGCAGTCCAGATCCGAAATGCCAGCAAGTTTTCTCTGCACAAGAGATACAGCAACCCCAGACGATCGTTTCCGCCTTGTTAGGCATCATCAGTGAGGCATAGCTGATATCTCCCTAGGCACCGTGAGCAAGGGGTCCACGTCTGGATTATCCCTTTAAACTTGTGGAGAGCAAAAAAATGGGTTGCAAGAGTCTGATTTATGGTTGCAGTAAGCACAGCATTGAAAGTAACTGATCCTTAATAGAATTGCACCCTTCCATTATGTATTGCTATGAAACATGCAAAGCCTCTTCCAAATACAATACACACAATAATAACATGTACTTACACTTCACATCTTCCAGGGTGATGTGTTCGCGGTCGAGTTTCCTTGTGTGTTTGGGTGATTTGGTAATGGAGCCAGCAAAACTTGTCTTAGAAGATTTTGATCCAGCCATAACATTGAGGGAATGGGTTGGTACCCTTAAATTGCATACAGAAGTAATTTATCATTTGTATGTATGATGAAGGTTTTATTATAATTAATAAAAAGCAATCTCAGAAATAACTTAAATAAATGGAAAATGAACATAGGCATTCAGAAAATATGTGCAACTACTGTAGTCTCACGTCCAACAAAATACCATCACTAAACATCATCTCCTAGCTAACAGAATCCTCAGTCAAAGCTCACCCTTCTTCAACTTTGAGGCTGGCAACCAAACAGAGGTATAGCAGCCTAATAAGTGATTCTCGGATCCACTGAAGCCATCGTATGCGTGTAGAGGAACTATTACGCTCACTTTGTCCCTATGAAGTTAATCTAGCTATTCCAGCATGAGTTGTGAGAACCCCATAGCACACCTGTCCAGCACAGGTACAGAGATACACTAATTCCATGGCACACCTGTCCAGCACAGGTACTGAGATTTACTCATTCCATGGCAAACCTGTCCAGCACAGGTACAGAGATACACTCATTCCATGGCGCACCTATCCAGCACAGGTACTGAGATTCACTCATTCCATGACACACCTGTCCAGCACAGGTACGGAGATACACTCATTCCGTGGCACACCTGTCCAGCACAGGTATGGAGATACACGCATTCCATGGCGCACCTATCCAGCACAGGTACAGAGATACACCCATTCCATGGCGCACCTGTCCAGCACAGGTACTGAGATACACCAATTCCATGGCACACCTGTCCAGCACAGGTACTGAGATACACCCATTCATGGCACACCTGTCCAGCACAGGTACTGAGATTTACTCATTCCATGGCAAACCTGTCCAGCACAGGTACTGAGATTCACTCATTCCATGGCACACCTGTCCAGCATAGGTACTGAGATTTACTCATTCCATGGCAAACCTGTCCAGCACAGGTACGGAGATACACTCATTCCATGGCGCACCTATCCAGCACAGGTACTGAGATTCACTCATTCCATGGCACACCTGTCCAGCACAGGTACGGAGATACACTCATTCCGTGGCACACCTGTCCAGCACAGGTATGGAGATACACGCATTCCATGGCGCACCTATCCAGCACAGGTACAGAGATACACCCATTCCATGGCGCACCTGTCCAGCACAGGTATGGAGATACACGCATTCCATGGCGCACCTATCCAGCACAGGTACAGAGATACACCCATTCCGTGGCACACCAGTCCAGCACAGGTACAGAGATGCACCAATTGCATGGCACACCTGTCCAGCACAGGTACGGAGAAACACCAATTCCATGGCACACCTGTCCAGCATAGGTACTGAGATACACTAATTCTTTGGCAAACCTGTCCAGCACAGGGACTGATATACACTATATCCGATAACATTCACAATAACATCACTACAAGATGCAGTTTACTGCATTAAAATAGGGTGTAGTGTTTAACAGTAGTATCCTTTTAATATGATACAGCTCTGGCAGTGTTTACTGTGCGATGCAAACCAGAATAACCCGGAACAAAAGTAGGTACTGTCTGAATGCAAATTAGCCGCTGATTAACTGAACTGCATCACAATATTTTGGCCGGTTGGTGGGCACTGAGGCCTAGTTTCAAAAACAGTAAAAAAGCATTGGCACGTTGGTGCTTTGTGGGTTAAAGTAAATGCTCTGACATCAACTAAATGCTGGTTGCTAAATTAGGTTAGATGGCGTGGTTTGTTGAGTGAAGATAATCCAGAAATGAAGCCCATTTTAAACCCAGCAGAGTCCTGCCAAGATAACATATCACTGAGAATACTCCAATGTCTAAGTCATTGTATCCAAATAGCCATTTGGCTAATAGTGGAGAACATGTGTTGTAGATTACTTGTAGCCTTATTAAATCAGTCACGTTCACCTCCAGCAAATAAGAGGTTAAAGTGGAAGGTTTAGGCTAATTCTGAAAAAATGGGAATAAAATTATTAAAAAAATTAAAAGGTGTCAAGATTCTTTTAAGGGTCCTCTATATATTTTCAAATAAAATACTTTTTATCATATTTTAAAACTAACAGGAAAGTAAATGATTTATTTATCTATATTATTATCCAAAAGATTTAGAGTTATTCACCAATATGTGAAATATCAGGAATTCAAAGTGAATCAAATTGTAGCCCAAAGTAGTCAAATCTGAAAAATTCTCCATATTGGCACCGTTTTCAGTTTGACTCTTTTTGCCTGACATGTAGAATGCCCCAGTGGTATAACCCACACTGGCTACTTAATCTGTGTACTGTGTGACTTATTTTCAAGTTTCAGGAAATGTGTCTAATGAAAATGCAAGAAGAAAGTACCACATGGTGACATAACACTGTACATTAGGTGTGGCCAATAAGTAGACCACCCCAGTTAGTGTAACACTACATCTCCCATTGATGTCTTACCAGCTTAAAGGTTGGCAAAGCATTATGGTATTTGTAGTTCTTAAAAATCAGCTTTTGTCAATCCCTTATACTGTATATATAATGATACGTTAAATTATTCCATAGAACAGCCTCCTATTTTATTTTATTTAAATACCTGTCTTGAGCTTTAGTTTCGTGTTCCTGAAAATGTATAGTCCTAGCCCTCCTCGCCCTTTCTCGTGCGTCCGCAGCTCCATTACTGCTGTAAGGAAATAATATTAAATAGTTTAAACAGTGTCCGGATTCTGCAGTCCGAATAAACCCGTACGCTGTCAACATGGTTCTGCTCCGTTCAGTATGGGTCGGTTTACCATATCCACCATGTTTTCAGGGACATATCATGTATACATAGTGATGGGCAGCACATGAAAAGGGTTGCCCTATATGGTAACCCTAAGTATGGTGCCCATTCAGTTTTCATGAACTAACTCCGACAGTTTCAGAAAAACACTCAGAGCTTGAGAATGTTTCCAAATTGGCTAATCTAGCCTTAATAAGCATGTGCCGTGCCAATTTCCTGCAATTCACGGTTTAGTAAATATACCCCAAATTAACGCATGTATACATAAATATTACCTTGAAAATTCGAGTGTGTTTGTGTCCTCTCTCCAATACCAATGTCCAGGAATAGGTTTTGCTATCTACAAGAGAAATTTGTGACATATTTAAACCGTTATATAAAGGAAATGTTCGCACGCGTAGAGTTTCGAAGGGACCCTGTCATTATTATTATTATTATTTCATGCAGGGAATACAAATTCATACCCAAATCTTTACGTTGCTTTTTAATGAAAAGCCAGGTATTGCGTATAATTAACAAGTTATTTGTACATCAGCTAAAGATTAAGTGGTACGCACTGGAACTGGCGGGGGTAACTAACACTCCCACTTACATAAAATTTACCAGGATCTGCAATTAATTATGGGCAGGTCCTTACAGCACTTACAGGGTTAATTCCTAATGCTAAAAGCAGTACAGGAATGGTACAAGCCTTTAGTTACTGATAGGTGTCAACTCCCATCACCTCAAGCCCTCCACCTACTAGAGTTCCTTCACTCTGTCCTCTGCCCACCAACCAAACCTTGAAAATCTACTGCCTTGTTTTATTCAACATATCCATGGGAATAGGTAAATATTTTATTTTTGTTTAATATTTCGTTAGGGTTAGAGGTACTTACTGGATCCATGGACTCGCAGAGCAATAGACCAGCTCAGCCTGATGGCTCACTGTTTATTTTGCTGTATCCGTTGCTGTAGCAACCATTCCTTTGTTACTCCTGTTGAAAGCAATGCATTGAGTGACAGGGCACACGGGGAGGGGTGCCAGAGGGAGGGACAGAGAACAGTAACGCACATTGATCAACAGCAGAATAAAAGAGAATTAAAAAAACCTTAGAAAGGAGTTTTCAGAGGGAAAGGATCCTCTAAATTGAATTGCACACAAACTAAGCAATACATAAAGACACCTTTTGTTTCTATTGAAATAACTGCTTTGCATATCAAACAATATGACGATAACTATGTCACATCTGTATAGGTCTCTCTGCCAAATCATTCTGTGCCTGTTTTCTATTGTATTATAAAATGATTTTGTTATAACGGCACTGTCGACGTCTGTGACTTTGCAGAATGGTGACATCAGCGTAGAGATTTACTTAATTGAACCTGTCCCTCGCAGGCGCCGCCATCTTCTTCCTCAGGCGGATCCACTTCAGCGCCAGGAGCCAGTGTCACTGATGAACGCGCGTGCAAGAGCCAAATGACAAAACCAATTCCCTGAAGCCATCACTGATGATGGCTGGGGGACTGGCGCTTCTTGACACCTGTAACGCCGCCCGGTGTATCGAAAGGTCAGGTGTAGGAAATATACAGAGACAAAGTAGTCCTTACTTTGTTTCTGTACATTTTTTGACTGTGTTGGACTTTCAGTGAAATTGTTTATCTTTCTGAAATACACATTTTTGTGGAGAAAGTGACAGGGCTGTTTTATAACTAGAATAAGGTTATAGTGTCAACTAAAATAGCCGAACCCCCTGTTCACAACTCCATTCATATGCAGTATGTTTTGTTAAAGGGGTAATCAAAGCACCATAACCACTGCACCATACTGTAGTGATTATAGTGACAGCATGTCCCTGGCACATTTCCCCAATTCTCTCAAACTGTTTGTTAGCTCTCGGCACGTGTGGCTTGAGCTCTCGTTCAGTGTATTGTTGTTGTAGAAGTTACGGCTCCACATTAGTAATGTGAATTTTATCCACATTTCGCCTGCATTCATTGGCTAAACATGTCAGCTGACATCATCAGGGTATATTTTGAAGTGGAGCTCACGCTCTGCACTCCAGATTCCCATATAGTTTCACCCTGTGGGGGCCAGAAAAACCACAGGATTGATTTATATTAGTCCAAATCCCAGTCATTTTTGAGAAGGAGATAACACCTCCAATTAATTTATGACTGTTAATTTGAAGTTTATTATAAAACACAGTGTGGTGGTATTGCTGTAGAAGCACGGCTCTAATGCAGTGGATAAAGGCTTAATAAAGAAGCAGGTGTGAACTTAATTTAGCACAGTGTGGAGTTAATACAGCATGGTGTTTGTCTGATGTAGTGGTTATTGTGCTAAGAGTTCCCTGATACCACTCACAGTGTAAGTAGGCAAACCATTTATGCCTAGGTTCACCTTAATACCACTCGCTGCCTAGCAGGAAGCTCTGTGTCTAAGATATGCCTGGTGATGCAGGGCTTAGTTTATTGTCTGGGTGTGATTAGCTAACGGACTACTTTGTCTCTGTACATTCCTTCCCCCTGAAACTTCTAGACATTGGGTGGAGCTACCAACATCTAGAAGTGTCTGTTCCCATGGAATTGGCTCTGTCTCTGGAGGATCCTAAATAGATCTCAATGTTGTACTCTCGCGCATGGACAAGGAGCTGAAGAGTACCCACCATAAGGTGGCCCCACCCACAAGGGACAGGTTAAGATAAGTAGAACTCACCTTTACTGCCCCCTCCCACCCCAACAGCGATATCACTGTCAGAGATCTGCAAATTCCGCTTTAAATCAATACTCCAAGCACCTTGACCACTGCAGTTCACTGTAGTTGTAATGCAAAGCGGGCTGGAGTGGTTATGATGTTTGGAGTGTTCCATTAAGATTTTAGAGGACTTAAATATCCCTGTTTGGAAAAACCAGACCATCTAGACCAGTGGTTCCCACACCATGCCTCAGGACCCAGCAACAGTCCACATTTTGTATTTCTCCAACAGACGGATGTTCAGCCATGAGAACTGGTTTGGGAACCACTAACCTTGACCCAAGTTGTTTTGTTTTACTTTCTTATAGCAGCTGCATGCCCTGGGAATCCATGAACTCCCTGTCTCAGGCCTTCTCGTGTGGTGGTGCTATGCAATGTGTGGTCTTCTCCATGGTAAATAGTTATTTCCAATGGGCGGCACTGCCACAATGACCAGATTTACAAATCTCACATCATGCAGTTTACAGTGGCATTGGGCATTACAGTGGCACAGAGCTGCTGCTTCTATTTTATGTACGTTTGTGATATTTTACAAATTTCTATAACCTTTTCCCTTTTATTGGTTTAAACATGAAGCCCCACTCCTACCGGCCAAGGCCGCACCTCTTCCTGATTAAGAACCCACCCCTTCCTCTTTAGACTCATTTTCCTACTCCTTTTAAAGGGATACTATAGTGCCAGAATGTTTTCCTGGTACTATAGTTCCCTATAGTGCCCCCCTCCCTCGTGCTCTCCCCCTTGGGTGCCTTTAGTGTCCCTTTAAGCACACACTCAATGACAAACACACAGACATCACTGACAGACAGACTTAATGATTTGACACACACACATTCCCCAACATACACACTGGCAGATACGCACTGACAGTCACACACACTCAGTGACAAACACAGAGACGTCACTGACAGACACAGACTCACAGATCTGACACACACTCATTGACACATACGCACACTGACAGACACACTGATATTCACACACAGACTCAATGACAAACAGACTCTCACTGATTTGACAGACACTCACAAACACGCACACACAGACACACGGCTGTAGTGGAATGCAGTGGTGTATTTATCCCAAGCAAAACTAGGCATTTGCCTTGAGCGGCACTAACGAGGGGGCGGCAAAAAATGCCGCCCCTAAATGCCCACTTGGGTGTTCCGTTTGCTAGGTATGTCACACCATAACCCCCTCCCCAGTGTATAACCCATATTAACACAACATTATCTCCCCCCCCCCATCAACCATTCTATATCTGATGGATGTACCGCGGCGCATGCGTGGTACACCCTTCAGGTTAGTGACCCAGCTGATCCCGCGTCATTGGAGCGGCACCTCAGTCCGAATTCTATACCCTAAAACCTGCTAGCGCGCATCTGATCTTGTCTCACTTCTGTTGACGCGGGTGCACCGGAAGTGACATACATATAGAAATCTGATACATATAGATTTATGACACCGGTGTTCTATCAGAAAAGTATATCTATCAGATCTCTATACGGACGTCACTTCCGCCCGCTAGCAGGTCTCTGGGTATAGAATTTGGACTGAGACGCCGCCTCCAATGACGCGGGATCAGCTGGGCCCCTAACCTGAAGTGTGTACCGCGCATGCACTCGGTACATCCTTTAGATACAGAATGGTTAATGGGGGTTATATACTGGGGATAGGGGTGGAAATGTTGTGCAATGTGGGTTATACACTGGGGATGGGGGGTTAATGGTGTGACACACAGGTGATGGGGGACACACAGGGGATGGGGGGTTAATGGTGTTGATCCCCTGACTGTCACTCCACAACTCCACATCCTCTGAAACCCCATTAAACCCCCAATCCCCAGTTTGTCACCCCCTTACACCTGTCACCCCATTAACCCCCCAATACCCTGTGTGACACACCATTAACCTCCATCGCCAGTGTATATCCCCCCCATTCCCAGTATATAACCCCCATTATTCTTCCCTTCCCTACGTGACGCCCGTATTTGAAATCTGATAAGTATACTTATCTGGTAGAGCACTGGAATATGACGTCATATCCCAGCATCAGTAGACAGCCCGAGGGAGCAGAGCAAGGAGAGCAGGGAGATCAGGGCTCCCTTGCCGCCTCAGATTCCAATACAGCCGCACGCCTCCCAGCTGCCCTACTGGATCCCAGCGACAGATCCACGCCAACTCTCCAAGTAGGGAGGCTGGGTGGAAATTTTCAAAGTATGTTAATAATATTTGTGGCGAAACTAACCTCGCCACTGGGTCCTGGAGAATCCTGTGTTACAAAACGCCTTTTGTCCCTATTTTCTCTTATGACAAATTGTCCTGCTTCCCTGGGTTATGGAGAAGCCTGATTACCAGCCTCCTGCTTCATGACTATGTTCCCCTCTCATCAGCCCATTCTAAACTTAAACCCCATGGTGATTTGACTGTGTTTGTGGGATCTGAGCGCTGTTTGGATATATTGAATGTGGGGGTTCTGTTCAGTATGATAGGAATTATGTATTTTTGCTGTTGTGAATAGAGATATGTTCTGTACCTGGAGATAGTTGGCTTACCACACCCAGTTAAGCCAATTATCTCACACAGCCTAACTCTGTGGAACTGGTTTGGGCTGGAAAGCCATGCTTGCAGTTGGTCACAAAGGACTTCGACCTAACTTTTAAACCAATGGAAGGAATTGCCTGATTTTTGAGTATGTTTGTATTCGGAGATTGCTGAAAATGTAAGTTTTATGTGAATGTGATGTATGAATATTGTGTAAAACTGTGTATTTTCCTGCCTGTGGTAATTATGTTAGCCCATTGTTTTCAGTAATTGTATCACAGATAGAGAGGAGGATTTCTGCTGGAATGAATGGGAGTGTTTATCTGTGTTGTACTGTTTTGATTGGCTGTTCCACAAAACCCTGTGGGCGGTACTTGATGTGTAAAAACCTTTTTTTAAAGAAGCAATAAAAACACAGCTAGTTCTGTTCCTGTTTACACTCCAAAACTGTGTGTCGTCCTGTTATTGGAGGGAAGATTATTTGCTCCTGTGTCTGCTGCTCCAGCTTGCAGGAGATTCAACGGGGAAAGTCCTTGTAAGGACTAGAGCTAATTCCCCATTCGGTTCCAGAGTGCCCAGGAGTGAGTAGCGTCCAGGACCTGGAGGTGTCTGCTGTAGTGCTTGGAGCCCTCAGGAAGCGCTAGGAGCATCCTTCAATGGAGGTACCCAGTCGGGGTGCCAGGTGATCCATTACAATATGAATTGTTAGTGAGTGTCTGTGTGTGTATGTGAGTGTCTGTCAACTCAGTGACAGTCTGTTTGTGACTATCAGTGTGTCTGTCAGTGTGTGTGTCTGTCAATGAGTGTGTCAGATCTGTGAATCTGTCAGTGACATCTGTGTGTTTGTCATTGAGTGTGTGCTTAAAGGGACACTATAGGCACCCAGACCACTTCAGCTCATTGAAATGGTCTCGGTGCAGTGTCCCACTCCCCTTAAAACTGCAATAATTACCTTGAGCGGTTAACTCCAACGGGGTGGTTAGGCGACCAAAAGTTGCCTAACTGATGCTGGACATCCTCACGCTGTGCATTAGGACATCAAGCAAGAGTCTGCTAAATTCTCATAGGAAAGAATTAATACAAAATGCTTTTTTATGGGGAAGCCTAATGCAAACACAAAGGAGAAGCCTGACCCAGCGCTAAGGGACATTGGCACAGGACTCAAGTAAATGACAGAGTTTTAACCCTTTCAATGCCAAGTGGGAGGGGGTGGAGGAGATCATTAGGGAGTGGGGCCAGGAAGACTTTTGGGCTGGAACTATAGTATCCCTTTAAAATGAGTAGGCAAATGTGGAGTCTAAAGAGGAAGGGGTGGGTTCTTAATCAGGAAGAAGTGCAGCCTTGACCACCAAGGGTGGGGCAAATTTAGATTAGGGGATGCCCAGGTTAAGTTATGCTTAGAGCAACACAAAACCTAAATACACCACTAATGGAATCCGAGGCGACGAGGGAGCTCTGATCCCTCGCGTGCTATGACGTCCTATTCCAACTCCTCTGGCAATCAGCGAAGGAGCAGAGAGATCAGAGCTCCCTCGCATTCTCAGGTTCCAATACAGCCAAACGTCACGAGGTCCATATGGTGGCAAGCAGGCCAAGTCATGGAACAGGGCAAAGGGGACACCCGAGTGGGCGTTTAAGGGGCGGTGGCATTTTTGTGCAGGCCCCTGGTTAGTGTCTCCCAAGGCATATGCCTTGGGCTAAATACACCAGTGCAGAGTTTTCTCATTTTCGAGACTGCGCTGCACGTTATATATGGATATTAGATATTTCCAAAGTGATTGATTTTTTTTTTTTTATAACAAACGGACAAGTATTTGATAAGCTGTATAATTTACTTTCGCACAGGTCATCTAGACACTTTAAAAAAATATATAAACTTGGTGAGGAGGGGTTTCTATTATTCTGTACATTCACTGCAGGTTTTTTTTTTATTTTATTTAGAGGAGAAAAATAAATATACCTTCAGGCTATCATACACATTCTTGTCAGTTTGTTTGCATAACTCTGGTCTCGTTTATGTTCTTTTAAAACTAATTTTAATACAAAACACTTTCTGAAGCAAGAACTCTGTAAATTCCTCTTCGTTGTGTAAGAATATTTCACATTGCCGTTTCTCCCAGCCTTTACCAAAATAAATAGTGATACTCTGGTTTTGTTTTATTCAAACGTCAATGAGATGCTAAGATGTGTATGTATGGGATATGCACGATCTCAAAAGCTCAGAGTGTATGCTAAATTTCCCCATACAACCCCAAAATGTCTCCCTCAATTTTAGCAACTTTCACACGTTCCTAAAACAGAATCAATTCTCTGGTTATGTTTCTGCTTTGTTTAGCTGCACTCCAGAGCAATAAACAAATATTTTCCTTATTGCTGGCAAGAGTGAATTGGCTGAGCAGTGGAAAAATGCTGGAGAGTAGTTAAAGGTTGGAATAAACAGAGAAGTTCATTCGCTGGCCTACAGTCAGCCAACGCTCTATGGGGATGTAGGAGCTGAGCTGCAAGATCAGGAACAAGCTACGCACGCTGAGATCAAGCCAAGAGCAAACCACTACAGGACCTTGGCACTAGGGTTCTCCTGGCATCATACCTACAGAAGACTGCAAGTGTTAAACTGTGTGGAGAAACTCTTTAAGAGATGTTCCAAGTAACATGACGTGCTTTTATATGTTACACACTAGCCATTGCATCGTACATTAGATCAAAGTCTTATGCTACTATTCAACCTTTGAGTTTATTCCACACCTTAAACATTTTCACAGCAAGTGTGATTGTGTGAGGATGTATGTGAATGTACGAGGGTATTGCAATTGCATTCCTCTTGTCCCTGTAACCAGAATCCATGTTTCACCTGTTCCCCCTACCATTAGCACTCGCTCGTTTTGTTAGTTATAAGCGCCCTCAGGAGAGAACGCAGCTTTTATCTAAAATGGTGCATTGTAGACACCAGGAACTAAAATTCAGCTCGTGCCATGCTTTACACCATAATCCAAGGGGCAAGTCTGGTAAGGACTGAGTCCTGGTTCAATTCATAGACTTGTCCAGAATTCTAGGGTTTACCTCCACCTGGCAGCCACTGTGTGTTTATGGAACAGTTCACCCATAGTCTCAATGTGTTTATTTTACCACTAAAGCAGATAATAGGTTCTGATGGGAACAAAGGGCTAAAATAGTGCCAACACTGGTTTTGTAATAGAAGGACCTTCAGTTTGACTTTCCTAAACCTGCCCTCTAAACCACAATTAGGACCAGCTTGTTAACAGGGTTTTTATGTCCAATGATCACCGCGTATTGAATCTTCTTGAAAAGATACAAAGGCTTTAGCTTTATTTTAAGTTAAAATGACCAGTTATTTAGGAACCCCAAGTTTACAATACAAAAAACCCACAAAATGAGAAATCTGCAATTTTATTGCTTAATCTTATAAAAAGCATAGACAATTGATAAAGACGTACTGATATTAGATATCTTTAGTATTTACCATAATCAAGTAGAAATGTGAAATTTAGCCCAGCCCTATTAGTAGTATAATAACCCAGACATTGCGGTCAGACCGCCATTTACACCCAAACACATTGATTTAAAGCTTTAACTTTTGTAACATTAACTCCAGAAGTGCAAAGAATCAATACTGAGATTTTAAGTGCTGCTTGATTTAACTAAAAGACACCAAAGTATAAAGTATTAAGCATTAGGTTCACTTTAAGTGCTAATTTGCCATTGAAAAATTGACCTGGTTTATGATCCATAATTAGACAAATGACTAATTTAAAGCAATATAGTGTCAAAAAATAAAATCATACCCCTGACAACCCGCATGACCATGTGGTGCACGAGTCGTCTTGAATGGCCCCACCTTGTTGGCTGAACACAATCTTTAGGAGCTCATCCCATGCAAAGCTTTCCCATAATAAAGCATCGGGAGACTAACACACACAGTGCCAATCAGCATCTCTATGGAGAACATTTCATACTGGAGATGCTGAATGTCAGTGCTGCACTGACCCAAGAAGCATCTCTAGTGGCCATCTGAGTAATTACCACTAGAGATATTGCTAGGCAGTAATGTAAAAGGCAATGTTTACATTAAAATGTCTGCAGGGACATGCTATAGACACCAGAACATTATGCTGTAGATGTCCTGATGACTATAGGAGGCTATTTTGGTATTTATAGAGTACACAGTAATATATAAAAATATATAGTACATGAAGTCATCTATACATTGAACTAGCAATAGTATAGATTATATTAAAACTAATAATTTGGCCTCTCCCCATCTGTCATCTTTGATATGGTGAAGCCAGAATCTCTCTTGCAGTGTATTAGCCAAGAAGTGGTGCTCAATTGCAGGGGAAGTATAGAACTCTGATTATGTGCTGGCAAGTTGGTATCAAGGAGATCCCTGCCCAAGCAGAGCTGATGCCATCTAAAAGAGCAGGACCCCCGCCACCCCCCCAAAAAAAATAAAGTAAATGGTGTGGGAACATGGGATTTTAACCATGTTCTAGCAAAACAGCAGTTTAAAGGCAGTAAATGTATAATTTACCATTGTGATAAACAATATTTGACAAAGTTGTTTGTCAAGTTGAGACTGGAGTGCCAGGTTCACTTTAAGGCCGCTGTTAAAGGAACACGAGTGTCAGGAATACAGACATGTATTCCTGACACTTTTGTACTTAAGTGGCAGTTTAGGTGACCACCTGCCTCCAAACTCAAAGGAGGACATTGGGAGGCTATTGCACACACACAGCACTGCAGCAATCTGCATCTCCTCATAAAGATGCATTGAATCAATGCAAATCTATATGGAATGCTCAGTGCTGCAGACTGTACAGCTCTAAATTAAGCACCTCTAGCGGTTGTCTGGGTGACTGCCACTAGAGGTCTTACTAGGCAGCAATGTAAACACTGCCTTCTCTGAAAGGGCAGTGTTTACAGTGCTCAGCCTGCAGGGTCAGGTTACAGACACTAGAACCACTACATTCAGTGGTGGCGGTTCTAGTGACTATAGTGTCCCTTTAAATCAGCAATTATAAAATTATATGTTTTCGGTCTTTTAGACAGAATGTATCATTGTTTTTAATGCCTGACTTGTCACATAAATTTAGTCCACTTCTTCAATGGTAGGTCCACCTGCTCCCCCACCAGCACCAGGCTTAGGAGCTCCACCTTGATAAAGTTTGGTGATGATTGGGTTACATATTTTCTCCAACTCTTTCTGCTTGTACTCAAACTCATCCTTTTCTCCAGCTTGGTTTTTGTCCAACCAATCAATTACCTCTTTGCAGTTGGCCAAAATCTTTCCTTTATCTTGATCGCTTAGTTTGCCTTTCAGCTTCTCGTCCTCCACGGTTTGTTTCATCTGATAGGCATATGACTCCAATGAGTTCTTGGCAGCCACCCGCTGTGTATTGGCCTCATCCTCTGACTTGTACTTTTCAGCATCGTTCACCATTCGGTCAATATCCTCTTTGCTTAGACGGCCCTTGTCATTTGTGATTGTGATCTTATTCTCCTTGCCTGTGCTCTTGTCCACTGCCATAACGTTCAAGATGCCGTTAGCATCAATGTCAAAGGTCACCTTAAATAAAAATAAATCAAAACATTTTTAAAAGAGCAAAATTAGATTAATTACAAGACAATTACAATTAAATGCAAGTTATGACAAGTTTGCATTAAGACATTTTAAGACACTTGCTTAGATTAATTTTGGTGGAACACTTAAATACATACACTTTTTTTTTAATCTCTATTCTACTCTACTGCAGTCAATGTTCTAGAGGTGGTGGCAAACCTCCTGCTGCAGAGGGGGTTAAACTCTGTATGTGCAACGCTTCATAGCAAAACACTGCAAATACAGACGCCACACACCATGACCACTTATCACTGCAGTGGTCATGGTGGTTAGAGTAACCTTTTAAAGTAGCTCTGTATATGGTGCACACTTCCCCAGTAGTGACTAACTGGACAGCCTTGGAGGAAGACAAAATGATTCATACTTACCTGAAGCTGTCCCTCGCAAGTGCAACCATCTTTAATCAGCTCCTGGCACTGCATTCACTAGTATCCTGTGAAAAAGTTCTACTCAAACTGGAGAATCCAGCAGGACTGCAGGATCTTCCACAGAGTAATGTGCACAATGCATGTCAGGAAGTACAACTCCCACAGCAAACTCAAAGTGTATGGTTATATTCTACAAAGAACACTTAGAAGGGAGCTATGGTAATTGAACTAAACTGCAAAATTAGGGGGGAAACCCTCAAGCTCTAGCAGTCAGAGTTTAGTCTTAAATGACATATCGCACCACATGGTGCATCCCTGGTGATAGAGGCACAATGCACTTTGTATGAGCTTGTTATCTATACAGTAAAGTATCTAACTGATATAAAAAGATCCTTTGTATAACTGATTTAAAGGAAAATCCAGCTCTATGATGTTGACGTTTGCCCAGTGAAACATTACTGCATTAACCTAGCTAAGTCTGCTATAGCAGCTTCCCAACCAGGGCTCTAACATCTTTTACAGGTTTTCTATAGTGAAAGTGCGAAGTATAGAATCCTAAAACAAAATCAGCAAATTCTTATTGATCATTAAATGGCACATGAATATCTTAAAATGAGCCTCAAAACTAAAGTCCACCAATGCCACCCGTGCAGTGCGTTCTGCTGCCATAGTACCCATGGAAACCCCCCCATACTGTGGATAAGGGAGAGAGATGCTATTGTGGCCATTCTATCGGTTACCATGGTGACCAGTTTGGATAGCTCACCTCTATCTGTGGGACCCCCCTGGGGGCCGGGGGGATGCCGGTGAGGTCGAACTTGCCCAGCAGGTTGTTGTCCCGGGTCATGGACCTCTCGCCCTCGAACACCTGGACCAGCACGCTGGGCTGATTGTCGGAGTAGGTGGTGAAGACCTGGGTCTGCTTGCTGGGGATGGTGGTGTTCCGCTTGATGAGGGCGGTCATGATGCCCCCCGCGGTCTCGATGCCCAGGGAGAGCGGGGCGACGTCCAGCAGCAGCAGGTCCTGCACGTTCTCCGAGCGGTCCCCGGTCAGGATGGCCGCCTGCACGGCCGCCCCGTAGGCCACCGCCTCGTCCGGGTTGATGCTCTTGTTGAGCTCCCTGCCGTGGAAGAAGTCCTGCAGCAGTTTCTGGATGCGCGGGATGCGGGTGGAGCCGCCGACCAGCACGATCTCCTGGATCTGGGACTTGTCCAGCCGGCTGTCCCGCAGCGCCTTCTCCACCGGCTCCAGCGTGGCCCGGAACAGGTCGCTGTTGAGCTCCTCGAAGCGGGCGCGGGTGATGGACGTGTAGAAGTCGGCGCCCTCGTACAGCGAGTCGATCTCGATGCCGGCCTGGGTGCTGGAGGACAGGGTGCGCTTGGCCCGCTCGCAGGCCGTCCTCAGCCGCCGCACGGCCCGCTTGTTGCCGCCGATGTCCTTCTTGTGTTTCCGCTTGAACTCCTCCACGAAGTGGGTGACCATGCGGTTGTCGAAGTCCTCGCCGCCCAGGTGGGTGTCCCCGGCCGTGGCCTTCACCTCGAACACCCCCTGGTCGATGGTCAGCACGGACACGTCGAAGGTGCCGCCGCCCAGGTCGAAGATGAGGACGTTGCGCTCGGCGCTGCCCCCGGAGCCCCGCTTGTCCAGGCCGTAGGCGATGGCGGCGGCCGTGGGCTCGTTGATGATGCGGAGCACGGAGAGCCCGGCGATCACCCCGGCGTCCTTGGTGGCCTGCCGCTGCGAGTCGTTGAAGTAAGCGGGCACGGTGATCACGGCGCTGGGGACCGGCCGGCCCAGGTAGGCCTCGGCCACCTCCTTCATCTTCCCCAGCACCATGGAGGACACCTCCTCGGGGGAGAACGTCTTCACCTCGCCCCGGTACTCCACCTGCACCGCGGGCTTGCCGGCCTCGCTCACCACCGCGAACGGCCAGTGCTTCATGTCGGCCTGCACCGCGGGGTCGTCGAAGCGGCGGCCGATCAGGCGCTTGGCGTCGAAGATGGTGTTGGCCGGGTTCATGGCCACCTGGTTCTTGGCGGCGTCGCCGATCAGCCGCTCGGTGTCCGTGAAGGCCACGTAGCTCGGGGTGGTGCGGTTGCCCTGGTCGTTGGCGATGATCTCCACCTTGCCGAGCTGGAAGACGCCCACGCAGGAGTACGTGGTGCCCAGATCGATGCCCACAGCCAGGCCGGACATGGTGATAGCGGAGAAAGGGGAGTCTGGTTACTGACAGGAGCGCGGCCGCTGACACCACTTTTATACTCTCCCGCACTGACAGCACGGCCCCGCCCACAAACACGGCGTCAGCCAATCGCAGGCTCGGCTCAAAAAGTCCCGCGCTTGCCAACATTCTAAACCGTTGGTGTTCCGGGATTCCGCGCGCTGATTGGACGAATATCCAGCCAGTAGCGATGCAGCTTTCTTCTTAGCAACCGCTAGTGTTTTGGGGCAACGTAGGCGTGGATCAAGTCGGCCAATAGCGTGGAGGTAAACTATATCACATGGCTCAGCACGTGTAGCTTTGACAGCTTGGGGCGTGGCTTTGTCTCTGGTGTTTGTAACTCTGGAGGTCCAGTTAGAAATGCCATTCTGCTGAGAGCAGAGGATCTGGGCAGACCTGCCCTTATTTGGTCCCAGACACTAATTCCTCTATTGGAGGAATTCTTCTCCTCACAGTGTGACATAAACCATCACAGCTGGGTCCTGTCAGAGGGAGACTGGATCTTAATGAATTTATTCCAATAAAACCCAAAGAATGACATACTATAACAAATATATAGAGGGTTTTTATAAATTTACATTCTGTGTCTGTCTACATTGTGTATTTTAATTCTAAAAGCAGCAATAACTTCTTTTTTTAAGCAAAAAGCTTTTTTTGTTTTTTTTTACTATAGTGTCCCTGTAAGGTTTCTCTGGTTTCCAAGTATGTCCTGGGTCCACAAAACATTGTGTGTATATATATATAAATATAATCCTCTCTCCCGCATGTCAATAAAATCTTTGGCATAGACTGCTATGTCTAATAAGTGACTGACAGGGAGAGCAGGAGAGACCTCCTACAGACTATATGCCAGACTCTATCTTTATACAGCCTCTGTGCCATTTCTGGCGATTTAAAGGACCACTATAGTGCCAGGAAAATATACTCGTTTTCCTGGCACTATAGTGCCCTGAGGGTGCCCCCACCCTCAGGGCCCCCCTTGCGCCCGGCTCTGGAAGGGGGAAAGGGGTTTAAACTTACCTTTTTCCAGCGCTGGGCGGAGAGCTCTCCTCCTCCGATCCTCCCCGTCGGCTGAATGCGCACGCGCGGCAAGAGCTGCGCGCACATTCAGCCGGTCGCATAGGAAAGCATTCACAATGCTTTCCTATGGACGCTTGCGTGCTCTCACTGTGATTTTCACAGTGAGAAGCACGCAAGCGTCTCTAGCGGCTGTCAATGAGACAGCCACTAGAGGAATTGGGGGAAGGCAGACCCGCAAGGCACTGGAAATAAGTTGAGTTTTAAACTTTTATAAGGGAGCTAAGGGGGGGCAAGCCACCTAAATGGTGGGTTAAACACTATATCTTAATGCAGACATTTAGGACAATCTTAAAGGACCACTATCGGCACCCAAACCACTTCAGCTCAATGAAGTGATGCCAGGTCCCTCTAGTTTTAACCCTGCAGCTGAAAACATAGCATTTTCAGAGAAACTGCTATGTTTACACTGCAGAGTTAATCTAGCCTCTAGTGGCCATCTCCCTGACAGCCACTAGAGGCCGCTTCTGCGATTTACCCAGAGTAAATCACACTTATTTGATGCTGGACGTCCTCACAGAGTCCAGCGTCAAATAAGATCCCCATAGGAAAGCACGGAGCAATGCTTTCTTATGGGCCGGTTTGAATTCGGCTGCACTTGTGAGCTGACGTTGGTGGGGGAAGGAAAGGTCACCAGCGCAGAGGAAGCCTGGCGCTGGAGTAAGGTAAGTGGCTGAAGGGGTTTTAACCCCTTCAGCACCGAGGAAGGGGGGCACTCCAAGAGCCTATAGAGCCAGAAAAATGGGTTTGTTTTCCTGGCACTAAAGGATCCCTTTAATCATTGCCCTTTCTCCAAAACGGTTAAATTTTGCCAAAACCATACCAAAAAATGGCACGTCACAGTGACAGCTATTAGTGCATCCTCTTTGAAGACGTTTGATTTTGGAATAGGTTTCACGTTTGACAGGATGCAGACCACTGCTAATGCTTCTCCTGGAGAGGCATTCTATTCAGTCTGTTCCAACCCTGGGTTACTGATGAGTTTAAAGGCTTTTTATTCTTTCAGAAACAGTTAACACATCCATCAAAAGGGAATATTTTTTAAAGTTAGACTGTTCCTTTAATACTGGACGGTGATTATTTGTATATATAAATAAATAAGCTCACAGCCTACAGTTTTGCAAGTTGAATCCAGATTTGGATGTACTCCAGACTTTCCAGTTGCTGCACGATATACACGCAACCAACTCCTACGGATTCTGGTGACTGACCACAAAAATGGCTTGGAGCACGTTACACGTGTCAGATGAGTAAGCATGAGAGTTTATTAGCAGTAACAGATATTTTTAAACAGAGAATTGCGATGCCATTAAAATTGGACTGCAAAATACATATTTTTTCTGATTTGGTTTATTTTAGCTTAAATTTTGCGGGGCCAGTGAGAAAGTCAACAGACAATACTGTTAAAATTGTACAGCGCTATGGAATTTGCTGGCGCTATATAAATAATAATAATGTTGTTTATCATGGAAATATGCACAATTAGAACAATGCTTCCAGTTTGGCTGCTTTGACCTGAAATTTGAATTCACTTTAAATTTTCACTTTAGCAAATAACTCAGATAATGCGGATCTTTTAAGTTAACGGTTAACCATGGCAGTTACAGGAACAAGGGTAACCATGGCAGGATGGAAAACAAATTTCAGCTGAAATTCTCAGTAGCAATATAAAGGTCAGCATGACTGCGGCATTTATGTTTGTCATATCTTGTGAGTTCTTTTAGAATCATGTGTGTAACGGAGCTCCCTGTACCCCTGGCTGGGTACCTCAGCCAAGGACTGCTTCCTAGCTGGAACAGGGGACAAACCGCAACACTTCTGCCCTCAGTCGCAGTGGCTTGACTGGGGTCCTGGAACCGCTCCCTCGTGGATCCGAATGGGGAATTTGCTCTAGACACCCCGAGGCACTGGACGACATGCAGTCCTGGGAGCTCTAGTCCTTACAAGCAGTGGCGTACATACCCGGTATGAATGCCACTGTGGCCAGCCTCTTCTCCTGGGGGGCCCAGGAACCAGCCACCTCAGGACCCCCCAAAGCTGGCCCTGGTGTCACCCGGCTGGCGGGCGCGCGAGGGAGCACTCTCCCCTGAGTGCTTCCTCTTCACCTCCCTCGCGAGGGAACAGGAAACACTCAGCCAGAGAGAGTGCTCCCTCGCACACCGCCTGCCTGCCCGCCGGGTGACACCACTGGACCCCAGGGAATCCCCTCAGCACTCCCACAGGCTGGGGGTATTAAATAAAAAAAACAAAAAACGTGAGTGTGTGTGTTAATGTGTGTGTGTTAGTGTGTGTCAGTGAGTTAGTGTGTGTCAGTGAGTGTGTTACTGTGTGCGTCTGTTAGTGAGTGTTTTGTAAGTGAGTGTGTCTGTCTGTCAGTGAGTGTGTATGTATGTGTCACTGAGTGTGTGTCTGTCAGTAAATGTGTGTGTCTGTTAGCTAGTGTGTATGTGTCTGTTCGTGACAGTGTGTGTGTCTTAAGCACTTACCTTTCTCCAGCGCCGGACTCCCTTGGCGCTGGGGATCTCTCCGCCCCGATCCGCCTCTCAGCTCCAAATGCGAATGCGTGGCAAGAGCCGCGCGCGCATTCAAACCGCCCATAGGAAAGCATTACTCAATGCTTTCCTATGGACGTTCAGCGTCTTCTCACTGTGATTTTGACAGTGAGAATGGCGGAAGCTCCTCTAGCGGCTCTCAATGAGACAGCCACTATCGGCTGGATTAACCCTCAGCTGCAGGGTTAAAACTAGAGGGACCTTGCACCCAGACCACTTCATTGAGCTGATGTGATCTGGGTGTCTGTAGTGGTCCTTTAAGTGTATGGGTATCTGCATGCACTGGCGTACATACCGCGGTCGCAGCCCTGCGACCCCTGCGACCAGGTGCCTGCCGCCATGTGTTGGGGGCCCACGGAGCAGTTTTCGCACCAGGGCCCCATGGGTTGTGTGTACGCCACTGCTTACAAGGACTTTTCCCATTGAATCCTCCACACTGAAACAGTGATTAAAGAATAGCACTTTCCCCTCCCAGTAACCAGACGACACATAGTTACATAGCTGAAAAGAGACTTGCGTCCATCAAGTTCAGTCTTCCTCACATTTGTTTTTTGCTGTTGATCCAAAAGAAGGCAAAAAACCCAGTTTGAGCACTTCCAATTTTGCAACAAGCTAGGAAAAAAATTCCTTCTTGACCCCAGAATGGCAGTCAGATTTATACTTGGATCAAGCAGTTATTACCCTACATTGAAAGATTATATCCTTAAATATTCTGTTTTTGCAAGTATGCATCTAGTAGCTGTTTGAACATCTGTATGGACTCTGATAAAACCACTTCTTCAGGCAGAGAATTCCACATCCTTATAGTTCTTACTGTAAAAAAAACCTTTCCTTTGCCTTAGACGAAATCTTCTTACTTCCAGTCTAAACGCATGACCTCGTGTCCCATGTAAAGTCCAGTTTGTGAATAGAATTCCACACAATGGTTTGTATTGGCCCCGAATATATTTGTATAATGTTATCATATCCCCTCTCAGGTGACGTTTTTCTAAACTAAAGAGGTTTAAATTTGTTAACCTTTCTTCATAGCTGATATGTTCCATTCCTTTTATTAATTTTGTAGCCCACCTCTGCACTTTTTCTAGTGGCATAATATCCTTCTTTAGAACAGGTGCCCAAAATTGCACAGCATATTCAATATGTGGTCTTACCAGTGATTTATAAAGAGGCACAATGATATTCTCGTCCAGAGAATGAATGCCCTTTTTCATGCATGACAATACCTTACTGGCCTTGGCCACTGCTGATTGACATTGCACATTGTTGCATAGTTTGTTGTCTATAACAATTCCCAAGTCCTTTTCATGTGTTGTTATCCCTAATTCGCTTCCATTAAGGGTATACGTTGCTTGTGTATTCTTTACGCCGAAGTGCATAACTTTGCATTTTTCAACATTAAATTTAATCTGCCATTTGAGTGCCCAGTCCCCCGGTCTATCTAAATCCCTCTGCAGCAAAGTAATATCTTGCTCACATTGTATTATTTTACAGAGTTTTGTGTCATCTGCAAACACTGAAACATGACTTTCAATGCTGTCTTCAAGATAATTTATAAACATGTTAAATTGAAGGTGTCCCAGAACAGACCCCTAAGGGACACCACTTGCCACCTCTGTCCAGCTTGAAAATTAACCATTAATGACAACTCTTTATACTCTGTTTTTAAGCCAATGTTCTACCCCAGAACAAGCATTTTCATCTAGACCGCTTTGCTTCAGTTTGAACACTAATCTATTGTGTGGAACTGTATCAAATGCCTTGGCAAAATCCAAATAGATCACATCCACTACAACACCCTGATCTATACTTCTACTTATTTCTTCGTAGAACGCAATCAAGTTAGTTTGACATGATCTGTGCTTCATAAAACCGTGCTGATTTTTGCTGATAACCATGTTCTTCTCAGGGAGTACAAGCTGGAATACCTTTACTGGCAGCCGCAACTGGCCTTATATGCAGGTCCCCATGCAAGGGGCACTCCCCCCTGGACCTGAGAGTTGACTACAGTAAAAACATACACACAATTACATTGGCTCTCAGGTCCAGGACACTCCCATACTGTCACGGGTGGCGGTACGGAAACCGGGACTGTTGAGTGCCTGATGAGAAGTGGGAGTCTTCAGGGTGGTAATGGATTATCAAGGCCTGGTGCATGGTAACCAGACGTCCTCTGGCGTTGAGCACCAGCGTTTGCGCGGCCACATACCAGAACCCTGATGCAGCTACAGCGGATCCCAGGAACTAGGAGATTGATATGCAGACCTCCCAGGAACTGGATAGGGGGGCTCTGCAGCAGACATGTATCCAGTACAGAAACAAGGCAAGGCTAGGATAGTCACCAAACATGAAAACAAGACAGAACTAATAAAACCCAGAACATGTACACAAGACATGAGGAAAACAAGAACAGGCAGGACAGGACTGTACATGGACTGGGATTACAAAATAAAACAAGACAAGATATAATAGGCAAAACAAGAGGAGACATAACAAAGCACTATATATGAAAAGAATGGGGATTTAGTTACATTATATGATCATACATTGCATAAGCCTGCCACAACGCCAATGTACCCCATGTTCGGCAGGTCCTACACTGCCTAATGTTTGCTAAAAGAACCATACTAAACCACAATAGCACTTACCTGCAAGAAAGAGCAGAGACTTGAAACACTGCTGCAGGTCCAGACTGAAACAAAAGGAAAATGGAAAACAGTATACTTATGCAAGTGGAGCGCAAAATCAGTTCCAAAGTCTCAGAAAGATCTTGAGATTGCTTCAACTCAGATATATATAAAAATAAAAATGGAGAACATATAATAGCGAAGTACAGTAACAATTAAATACATTTATTTTCCACACTAGACATAAAGCACTCCTATCCACATCAAAGGGTCAGAGTCGTGGACATTACAATAATAATAGAAGAAATAGCCTCTTACAAAATTAAAAAAGTGAGTATAGACAGTCCCAGCTGCTACTCAAAAACGCTTAGTGATGCCTCTGCACAGGCTCAATCAACACAGCAGCCGGCTTCCACACATCCTCCACGGATAGATTGTCTCACTGTGAACTCTGGCCGCCAGTAGCTTAGAGCATCGGCTTGGAGTCTTCTGGATACTTTGGTAGCTCCGCCCACTATCCGCGGAGGATGTGTGGAAGCCGGCTGCTGTGTTAATTGAGCTATACTCACTTTTTGAAAAATTTTGTAAGAGGCTATTTCTTCTATTATTATAGTAATGTCCACGATATATATTTTTATATATATCTGAGTTGAAGCAATCTTTCTGAGACTTTGGAACTGATTTTGCGCTCCACTTGCATAAGTATACTGTCTATTTTATTTGTGTGGGGATTGGGTACACACAGGTGTGCAGCAGCTTGTTTATATCTTAACCCTAAGTATTAGGGATATTGCTATCTTTGGGTGGTGAGGAATTTTTTGCACATTTTTTGCTTTCTCCCCCACATTTTTTTATTTGCTTATTCTCGTTAGCGCTTTTATATTATTGATCCGAAAATGGAAAACAAACGGGTGTGGCAACATAAAACAAACATATAAATTAATCCAAGAGACTGGGAATTCCAGGGACAGAATAATGGAATGAACCCAGAAATCCCAGCATAAGGAAAACCAGACATGGAATAGAAAACCAAAAAAAACAAGAAAAACTAAAAAGAATTGTAAAAAGAGTACTGGATACCAGAAGCCATCACCAGACTGATCCGCAGAACAAGGCATGATGTGACACATACAAAACAAGATAATCCCTCTCCTGTGCCTGGGAGATAATTAAGTCAAGCACCCTATTAAACTTAATTATCTCCAGGTACAAAAGACACACATTTCCCAAACACCCCAAAAGTACCTTAAATATACATAAAACCCCACAAAAGTTACATCCCCCAAAAGCCCCGATCTGGGTGACCAACATATCCAGATCGGTTCAGGGGTTCAGGAATTTCCTGGAAGTCACAATTTGACCGACCGCACGCATGGTCCCATGCCTAAAACAGTTCCAGAGAATCAAGGCTTGCAGTCGGTCTAGTTCGGTAGTTTAAAAAATGAACAAACTAGCGAACATAGTCAATGTTCTTACCCTGGAGTTTGTTCCCCTTCTTCGTGGGGATGTTTCCACCAAACACTGTCTTTCTAAGTGTTGTAGAACCGAACGCAGGCATTCATGGAAGTCCAGCGGTGTTCGGGAGTTTCAGTGCCCGAAAATAGTTCCATGAACTCGACGACCAAACACCACTGCCTGTTTTCATGCGAACAAGAATGCCGCCACCTCGTGGTCATCCATAGGAATTGCAGCCACCCAGACGAACACTTAAAACACTGCCAAGGGCTCTAAATAAGGTGAGCATTTCCATTTTTTCTTATATAGACATCATTTCCTTTTCTGAGATGCTACACTTAGTATGAAATATCTGTGTCTTTTATATATCCGGTGGAGAACATTCATATCTTCCTTGTGAGAGAGGGGTCGTGTGAGCTACCCAAAAAAGACACAGACGTGCAGAAGTTTAGAGCCTAACACTAGAAAAGGCTCTAACGAATGTGAGTTTATATATTCACTTATTTCACCAATCGCTCAATTTAAAGACATATTACACTATTATCTGTATATGTTCTTTTTTTCTTCTTTTTTATGTACCATATTGTATCAAGAGAAACGATAAAGGGTAAGAGTTCCAAGATCTAGTGAACACACTTACCTAAGCACTTATATAGCGCTGCACTCACTTAAAGCACTTTAGATTTGGGTGGTGGTAACATCATCCAGGTCAAAAAGTTTCTTTGTGTTCTGGTGATTGTCTATGTGTAGTGGGTAATTAGGAGTACCCACAGAGTGTATACAGCAGCTGTACCATACTTCCTTTTGTTTATAACACAAAGCGCCATTTATTCCACATTTTTTCGTGTATATTCAATTTCTAGATAAATGTTGTTTAAGGAGCCTGGAGGGAGTCAAGTACCAACTGTAGAGAGGTTTATATTGAGATTCCAAAAGCGCCACAAACTGTTATTCCCCGTAGTGTCAATAGAAACCCACTCCTCGACACTAGACTCCCTGTTTAGCTCCCTTTCCCATCCTATCATATAGTCCCATTTTGGACCAAGTTCCCCAGCAAAAAATGTTCAGTAACTAAATAAAAAAGAATTAGACAGAAATAATTAAATACATATGACAGAATGGAAAAGCCAATATTCCACATCCAGATCAGGTAATGCAGGTTGCAACACCGACAAGGAGGTAGCTCTGGACCAGGTAGTAGAAGGGTTTATCTTTTTATGTAACACATCTCAAGCCTTAAAGGGAAACTCCAGTGCCAGGAAAACAATCTGTTTTCCTAGCACTGCAGGTCCCCTCTCCCTCCCACCCCCCAATCCCTGGTTGCTGAAGGGGTGAAAACCCCTTCAGTAACTTACCTGAGGCAGCGACGATGTCCCACGTTGCTGTTTCTCCCTCTGCGCCGCTCCTACCTCTGATTGGGTCGGCCGGTGGGCGAGACTGATCCTGCCCACCGGCCGAGGAGACCTAATGCACATGCGCGGCAATGCTGCACATGCACATTAGCACTCCCCATAGGAAAGCATTGAAAATGCATTTCAATGCTTTTCTATGAGGAAATGAGCGACACTGGAGGTCCTCACACAGCGTGAGGACGTCCAGCGACGCTCTAGCACAGGTTTCCGGTGCTAAAAACCAGGAAGTGCCCTCTAGTGGCTGTCTAGAAGACAGCCACTAGAGGTGGAGTTAACCCTGCAAGGTAATTATTGCGGTTTATAAAAAAAAATTGCAATAATTACACTTCCCTGCAAGGTTAAGAGTAGTGGGAGTTAGCACACAGACCACTCCAATGGGCAGAAGTGGTCTGGGTGCCTGGAGTGTCCCTTTAATAGTGGCTTTGGTAGTTGGAAACATGTAGAAATCTACACCATTATTTTTATCAAGACTATTATTTTGTTAGAATCCAAGTTCCAGCTTTAGATACAATAGTGTCATCAAAGGAACATTATAGTCACCAAAACAACTTTAGCATAATGAAGCAGTTTTGGTGTACAGATCATGCCTCTGAAGTTTCACTGCTCAATTCTCTGCCATTTAGGAGGTAAATCACTTTGGTTTCTGTTTATGCAGCCCTGAGCACACCTCCCCTGACTGACTGACACCACATGCATGACAAAAATGGTTCCATTTTCAATCAGATGCAAATTACTTTCAAAATATTTAGCTCCTGCTTTGTGGTATGACCTGTAATCACTCACAAGAGGCTGCTGAAAGGTCTAGCAAGCTATTAACAGAGCAGGATATAAGAAATTCTAAATTAAACAGCCACACCTCACTCATACAGCCTCCATGAAAAAAAATTTTTAATCAGATCTTACAGCACAGTTTCTTTTATACGTTATCGTCTGATTGGTTAATTGATATTTAATCAAACACAGGAAGCTGCTTGTTAACAGAGCAGGGGATAAGAAATTGTAATTTAAAGACTGTGCAATAAATAAAGCTTAAACATTAGATCTCACTTTACAGGAAATGTGTAGGGAGGCTACATAGGTCTATGGCTGCATAAATTTTAGGAGACACTACAAACCTGCAAAATGTCAGCATGCCACTAGAGGGCAGTGTGACCCAGGATAAGGCACCTTTATTTATGCTTTTTATGCATGACCTCTAACACATTCTGTGTGATTTTCTTGGTACATAAAGGGTTCTAAGTTGCACAACTACTAATATGTCATCTTTACAAGTAGGCTTGAGATGGGACTCTGAAAACCTAGTGTACCAGTTTATTTCTGGTAGTCAGATCTAGTCCTGTCATTTTGTCCTTTCCCTTTGAAATTATTGTTACTAGACTTTCCATGATAAGAATATTTAGATCATATTTGGCTCTTCTACTTACATTTTAAACTTAATACATTTATTAATTAAGATTCTCACTTTCTCTAGAAAGTTTCATTTTCTTTACCTTCTTCCTTTGCTACATATCACACTGATTGTGCCAATATTAAGTCAAATTAGTCCACAATTGCTGGAGTTTGTTCTCAACTGGTAACTGTCACGACTTCAGATGGTGGGAGTATATGAAATTAAAACAGAAAATAACCAGTGATGGTGCAGAGCGTATGTAATAGGTACAGGACATACAACAATAATTTATATGGTATATCACTCACATTTGAGAGAGCTATAAGACCAGCTCTGAGTTTATCAGCATGCAGCGGTACAATCGCCACTGATGGATATGTAGATCTGGGGGTTGGTCCCTCAATGTGTAGTTTGATATATAAAAGATAAAATGGCAAACAATAGTGCTCACTGTAAATCAATATATTGATGGTTGTAAGAATAAGAATATTCTACTCACATGTAGTGGAGCAGTAGATCCTGCTCATATGGTAGCGCTTGGGTGGTATAATCCCCACCAGGGCTATGATAAGTAGATTGTCCAAGGAGTAGTATCAAAAGTTTGCTTATTCCCTCGGTAAATTCGGGATGCCGGAGGCCTTCCGCTCAGCGGTCAGGGACATTGTTCAGTGACCCATGGGCACAGGTGGTCACGGCAGGCTTCACATCAGAACCGTTTAGCATCACTAATGGAACGAGGCAGGGATGCCCACTTTCTCCCTTGTTATATGTACTGGCTCTGGAGCCGCTAGCGGAGACAATAAGGACCAACAGCTCCATACACGGAATAACCGTGGGGGATAAGGAATATAAAATCAATTTATTTGCAGACGATGTCATGTTGACATTGACACAGCCCCAAATTTCACTACCAAATCTCATGGACAACATCAAAGAGTACAGCCTCAACTCCTACTACAAATTAAATGTCACCAAATCCCAGGCTATGGGCGTGGGAGTCCAACCGAGCCGACTGAAACACTTGAGTGAGACTTTCTCATTTGACTGGAGGAGAGACTATATTACCTTTTTGGGCGTCCACATACCCCCCCACCTACCCCACTTGTTCAAACTAAACTTCACTAAGTTACTCGGATCATTTACTGACACACTGCGCACATGGGAGGGCAAATATCTCTCATGGCTGGGCAGACTGGCGGCGATCAAGATGTCAATACTCCCTAAACTCCAATATCTGCTACGCACAGTCCCTATTAGTCTACCGGGCCAATACATGACCACAATTCAAAAGATGATTGTACGTTTTGTGTGGGCCAACCGCAAGGTGCGGGTTGCCAGTAGACTCCTACAAAAACCAATCAAAGAAAGGGGACTGGGAATGCCCAACATCCAATCTTACCATAAGGCCACACTGCTGGCTGCCATAGCAGCAACAAACGCAGTGGAAGACCCCCCCCCCCCCGTGGGTACACATAGAAGCACATTGGGCATGCAGACAGGGGCTGCGGCACCTATACCAGTTGCCGACCACAGCGGCAATGATCAAAACATGGGAATCGGTGAGGGCTTCGCTGGGCATGGTCGGACCAACCACAGGGAACATTCCATTAATAAGCATCTCAGTGGGCATCCCAACATTCGATCACACCCCCTGGGTAAGGGGGGGGGGGGTGGGGGCACACACCTTAGACAGGTATGCGAGGGCAGCGTTATACTGCCATTCCCAGTGCTGCAAACCAAGTTCTCCCTGCTCGCCAGACACATATTTCCATACCTCCAACTGAAATCCTTTGTGACCTCGCACTTGATGGACACATACCCCGAGCCACCACACATTAGCGCCTTAGAACAGCTATGCCTAACAGACAGCATACCCAAAAAAATCTTGTCAAAACTATACACACTACTGAATACATCAACTACACAAGAACATGGAGACTTTAGGGAAGCCTGGCAGACAGACATAGGACGCCCGCTCGCTGCCCTAGACTGGAAACAGGCATTCCAAGAGCACAAAGGGCACACCTCATGCGCTACACACCTAGAAATAATGAGGAAAATTATGTACAGATGGTATATGTTCCCAGACAAACTAGCGAGAATATACCCAGGAAGCCCAGGGGAGTGCTGGAGGAGATGCGGAAACAGGGGGACAATGTACCATACTTGGTGGACGTGCCCGGTAATAACTCCATACTGGGGGATGGTGGAAGAGGTAATAACAAACACGATAGGCCAACCATATCACTTGAGGCCCGAGCAGGGCATACTGTTCATGCATCTTGCCTAATGGCACAAACAGGAAAGGCAACTGATATTCCAAGTGCTCATAGCGGCAGTGACGCTAATTGCCAGACACTGGAAGCAACCACAAGCACCCAGCAAACACGACCTAATAACACAAACAACCACAAACTGGGAATATGAGGCTATGGCAAACAAATACATTACAGACAACCACACGATCATAGAGGCAAAAACCAAATGGGCAGAGTACACCAAGAGAAGCGCACAGAACCTTAGAACCCAGGACGCAGAACCACACTAAGACATGAGGAACCGAGGAATGAGAAAATGCCAGAGAGACAGGGAGTGATTAGGGCATGACTCGGGAGGATGGAACGATACACAGTACCGATAGAACACAGGAGGTAGACAGACAGAACTAACTTCTAGAGAACTTGGCCCCAGAGGGAGGGCAAAGCGGAGCATTCTCTCACAACTTCCTACAGAATAAGTTTCTTCTTTCTTCTACACATCATATCCCCCCCCAACCTTGATTTAACTCCAATTCAATAATCACCTAGACAGCTGTCCTAGCACATATCCCGTTCGATACACCCATATGCTAAGCCTAGACGCAGAAACCAAGCAGCAATGAACAGAGCTCCCAAAGGGAGAGAGGACTACCCTCCTATAGAAGTCTAACACGCAGCCATTCGGGGCCTGAACAAGCCACTAGGCGATAACCTAACAACAAACGCAGGTAGCGACGTAACGATAAGTAATTCATACTACACCCACAGCCCCGGAAACGATGAAAATACAAAATGTTAAAAAATACAAAACATTAAAAATGTATATATAATGTGTTAAAAAAAAAAAAGTGGTCAAATGTGGAGATGTGTAAATGTAAACAATATCGCCTATGTACCCCCCCCCCTTCTTTTTTCTGTACTCCCCTTATACTGCATTTCGAAGTATGACAAAATAAAAATTGTTAAATTGAAAAAAAAAAAAAGTTTGCTTATTCAATATCTTTTTACGTGCCAGAAACAGAAGAAGTTAAAAATAATAAAAACAAACAAAAGTATAAGAAGCGTAATAAATGGAAAAACACAACAAGTAGCGAATGCCAAATATACTTTAATGCTCTAAAAACAAAAGTTAAAACATAACATGTTTCACCAACTGGGGGGGTACGGGACTTTTTCAACACTTGAGAAAGTGTTGACGAAATGTGTTATGTTGTTTCAACTTTTGTTTTTAAAGCATTCAGAGCTTCCTTGCTTGGCCAAACTCCCAGAAAGATGCTACACTAATCTACTTATGATGAAGTTCTGTCAATCATATGTATGATAAAACTCTCCCAGTCACCTCCAGGAAGTGCTCGGGTCAGATGTCTAGAAGCCGGCGGCGGACTGAGAGGTCTGGTGACTCTGTACACGGGAGATCCACGAGAGAGGAATACTGGGGACGTTTTCACTACAATTTGGTGCAATAAAGTATTTGAAACACACCTATTGCTGGCATCATTTCCTGCATCACTTACCCATTAAGGGATCTATTGAAGCTGATCAGTCAGAGCAGGCCCATCTGCTCTGTGTTTGTGAGTGTTCCATCATAGTATTTCAATATTCACTGTTTTTATATACTGATTCACACTATGTATCTCTCTGGTTTTTTTTTATATTTGAGCTGAAGTAGAGGATATCTATGTGCCCACAGTTCTAAACTACCTATTGATTGTAAGTGTTTCATTTTCTACCATAAGGACTTTGGCACAATATTGGAACCATAACAGGTTTTGCACAAGATCACTTTAGGGATTTATATACACCTTGATGGTTTTAAATAAATAAGTGAGTTTTACACGATTTTGTAAAATGTCATGTTAGTCTTAAAGACACAGCACACCTATATTTGTTTTCTATTGTATTGGAGTGTATATTTAGGGGCTATTTGCACATTGTACAAGTATTTTGTCTGGACATTTTTAATCATACATATGTAGTTAAGTTATAAGTAGTAGTTTTGATTTTGTATTCAGTATATACTTCATCCAGTGGAACCTTGCAGGTTTATTCTCCCCAACTGATCACAAGCGACCAAGTAGGAAATTAGGAAAAAACAATAGAACACACGCTTAATAGTCATTAACAATGTTTTTCTTACGTGGAAATTACATAATCAGGTGTCCATAGTAGAAAGTAGACAACTGAACTACAACTCCCAGAATCCCTGCTATGCCCAGAAAGCAGCGCTGTGCAGTGATTTGTGGAATATGCGCAGCACAGCCATAGAGATGAATGGGAGAATCTCGCTTGGATAAACCACTTACAGGTCCTGCGGAGCGCATGGTGAAGGCAGTAAAACCTTGGAATTTACAGCAAATACATGAAAAGGGTTTATATTATGTAGACAAGTATTTTCAATGCATAATATGTCATTATTTCAAAAAGACCGCTCTAGCCTGGGTTTTACATAAATGCATGATAGCTTCCCTTGCTTAACATGCATGATGGTGCAATCCAGGATATACAAAAATATAAATAAATGCTGCAAGTTAAACATGCAACGTCAAACCCCTCAATCAGATACAGATTATAAACAGGGGTTCTACTTGCCATTGTCCTTATATTCAGAACAAAATAGATTGCAGGCGAGAAAAAAAAAATTAATAAAATCAAATTACGTAAGCCACTGTTTGGGTCATATTTATTCATTTCAAATTGGAAGTATTTACATTTGTAACCTAAAGGGTTACTCCAAGCAGTATAACCGCTACAGCCCGCCCTAGTGGTTATGATGTCAGGATTACCACCGCCTGGATCCCTTGTAACAGGGAAAACCATTTAGCTGCCCACTCTCAGCGAACGACAGGCATTCTAACAACAAATTGACAATAGTCAGCTGATAACTCTAGATCCAGATTAGCCCACTATGACTGCTCTGTTACACCTCCATCAGCAGAGGGGTTTATCTCTGTATGTGCAGCGCTTCAATACAGACTCCAGGAACTATGACAACTTCAAATCGCTTAAGTGGTTGTGGTACTCGGAGTAACTTTTGAATAATTAACCAAGGTCCTTGGATTATGGTTCGAGGAGTCACAGTATTGTATATTTGTACTCTTTAGTCTTCATTCTTACGCGTGTGCATATTATTGAAGAGAACTAATAAGATTCGGCATTACCCATCCATATATTTTATTGTTAATCATACAATGCTTTACTAATTACATTCATATATTACATATTTACTAGATTAATTAATCTGAAATAGCGCTCACTGATTTAACTTTGATCAAAAAGCCTGCATCCTACCCTGTATGACTTAGAAAGTTGTCTTAGAAAATAAGAGACAAGCAAAACGTACTGGAAGACCCAAACAATTTCTTAAAAATAACATTATTGCAGGTCATGTACCAATTAACAAAACCATTTTCACAGAAAGAGCAATATATAGACAGGAGTTCAGGTCACCCAATAACCAGATAATGAAAAAAAAAAAAAGAAAGAAAAAAGATTTTAAATTGAAATAATTAAAAAATAAACATTCGTTAGTTTTCAATGTATTAATGCTTCTTTGTATTAACTTAAAGAAAAAAAAATAATTAAGAAATACATCCCCCTCCAACACTAACTGATCAGAAAATATGCATTATGTTAGTCCAAATTACGAATATAAATCTAAAAAGGGGCTAAATCAATACTTTGTAAAAAGGTAGATTTAGATAACATATTGTTAACAAAGTCATATAGAAACTGGAAGATCAAATCGCATTTACAAAAAGAGTGCAATTATATGGGAAAAAATATTTGTAACTTTGAGATATAGAATTGATATAGAATTAGAGATCAATGCAAGTAGGCTGTTTTGCTAAACGCATACTAGAAGACCTTGGCTGAAGCACACAAACAACGTGGCTTCTGCTAGAAGATGCTTTTATAAATATATATTAAAATAATATACATGTATATGTATTTCAAACTTGAAATTTTTAGAATTTAATTTCTTAAACATGAAGACCAATCCACAGGAGTGTTCATCGTTTGGTATGCTGGCATGGTCTAGTTTTTTTTAAAATGCTTAGAATTATAGTGGAATCTCATGTCTTTTCTCAAGTTAAACTTTGCGCCACAAACTCCACAAGTGTACAGATGTATATCCATGTGTTCACTTAGAAGGTCGTTATTTGGGAATATCTGAAAGCAGACTTGACATATAGTTTCTCCGGCTGCCAAGTGAGAGATCATGTGACGGACATGGTCATGTTTTCTGAAGTTGCCCTGTTCACACACCGAGCAGACGTAGCGAGCCATTCCCGTGTGCATATCATTATGCAGTCGCAATTGGCGCTCTCTCAAAAATTGTTTTCCGCAAGTTTGGCATGAAAACTGCTTTTCCTTTGTGTGAACTGTAAAATGCTCTCGTAAGTGGCAACGCTGGTAAAATCCTTTACCGCAAATGTTGCAAAAATGTTTTCTCCTGTGATCGCGATCGTTCTCATCCAAAACAGAATTCCTGTAACCTTCGTTATCCAAACACTGGGACATATGTTCCACCACCAGGTTTTCAGACTCAAACCGCTGCCCACAGTTTGGACAGCGAAAAGGGCTACCTGCATGTTTATAGAGTTGCTTTTTCAAATTGTCATTTTTTGGAATGTTGCGGTCGTCTATGTCCGTCCACATATCCACCACGACATCTCCTGCTGTAGAAGGCTCCTCTGCATGATCATCAAAATGTATTCTTTCCTCATTGTTTGCATTGTCACTTTCCATTTGGTCTGGGGGTACACCACATCTTTGTGCATGTTCCTGTAACTGTCTACCTTTTACAAGGATTTGTCCACATTTACCACAGGCACATATATTTTCTAAATGTTTGGATAAATAATGAGAAGATAGGTCCTCTTCTGTAATGGGCAAGCCACATAGTTCACACACCGTATCGGCTGAATCGTCAGCCTCTGATGTTAATTTCTGATTCAGATATTGCATATTTTTTCTGCACTGTATATCCTTTTGCTGTGAGTTTGTTGATAGCTGGCTTCTTATACATGACTCAATTGCATTTTTATTATAATCCTCACTAACATAGTAAGCCCTGAGGGATTCGTCTGGCTCGTCTTCTAGATCATCAATATCGGAAGACTCCAAGAAATCTTTATCTGAGATTTTAACAATGTTTATATCATCCATTTCAACCAGTGAATTCTCATCCGACTCAATTTTGATTATTACTGGATTTTTAACTGTAGTGTCAACGACTGAATTTTTCAGTTGGCCCAACGTAACTCCTGAGTTTTTTGTACTTGTAGAAGATAAAGATTCCTCTATAGATTGACTTGAATCTACTTTGCATCCGTTATCTTGAGATGGAGAAAGCTTGGGATTTGGAGAATCTCTCTCGTTTTGGTCACTACTACAAGACTCTTTGCTTTGGTAAGAGTGCCGGTTGGTACATGTTTGAACATGCTCATCTAGAAGTTTCTCACAACTGAACACAAAGCCACAACTGTCACATGTGTAACTTCTCCCAAAACGCCGTGACACACGCTCCCTCGTGTTCGAAACTTTGGAAAGAGGAGTTTTCTTACAGGCATCATGTGTCTGCTTCCGCACATCAACCTTCTTCTCCTGTAGAACATTCATTGACAAAGAGGGTTCCGAAGTCCATCTACTGGGCTCTTCTCCACTCTTCGATATTGTTTCCTCATACATGCGAACTCCAAAAACCATTTTACTACTGACACTACTTGAAGCAGAGGATGAGCATCTAAAACTCGAGTTGTCCAGATCTTGTATATCTTCCAAGCTACCAGGGATCACATACAGCTGTAAGTAGCTCATAGCATTCCTAAGTTGTTCAAAGTCTTCTGGGGCGGTCAGTATTTTCCCCAAGTACATAAACTGTAAGATGAGATCAAAACACTCGGCACTGATTTTTGTGCTGCTGAGGTTAAGTTGTGCGCCTGCGTGCTGTTGATTTATGAACATCATTTTAAAATAAGAACTACAGGCCGCTAAGACGGCTTTGTGAGCCTGGAAGTAAATATCCTCAATAGCTATACAACAGTCACAGAGAAATCCCCATTCCCGCTGGCTGTACAGCTGTTGCAGGACATAACTGCAATGGCTTGCTCTCTCCATTATCTTGTTCTTTCGACAACTGCTGAAAGTAGAAGGGAAAAAGAACAAAAGATTTGTTGTTACAAAGTTTTAAATGGAAAATGAACAGTATGCAAATAAGCAAGCGATATATTTTTTAGGTTAAAACTCCTTATCTTCAGTCAACAGGTAAAAGAACAAACGAGGAGTCTCAAGTCTGAATAAACTATACATCACCATTTAGGAAATTTATTTATTGTACGCACACCAATAAAATTACTGGATCTCACTCAATGAACTTTCTAGATTCTGCAAGTCCTAGATCTCTGGTCTGTAATTATGACACTGTGTTAACGGTGGGAAAAGAAGTGCCCGCACGTTAACCTGTATTTGATGCAAGATTTTTAGTTAGAAACATGCTGGCGCTGAAGTAAAATGTTTAGTTACCTCGTTTACAGAATTTATTGGGGCTGTACACACAATTTACAATGGACTACAGTCAAAGTGCTATAAAACAGAAGTTAAAAAAAAATAAAAAATCAAACACTCACTAGCTGGCAATTTTTGGTATAAATTATTTATCACGGTAACAATGTACGTTGTTGTTATACATGTCGTTCATGGTGCAATATACCACTCAAAGATATTCTATTTGAAATGTCTGCTTTTACACATATACCAATAGGAACCACACTCAGTCCACATAAACCAAAAGTGCTAAACTAGACTATGGGCCAGCACAAGCCTCACAGCAGTAGATAGCAGCAGAGAAGAGATCCAGGCACTCTGGCACGTTTATTTGAACGTGAGGAACACTGCAACGTTTTGACCCAAGATTGGGTCTTTGTCAAGCTTGACAAAGATCCAATCTTGGGTCGAAACATTGAAGTGTTCCTCATGTTCAAATAAACGTGTCTAAAGCCATTGGAGTGCTTGGACCTCTTCTATGCTATTGGTATCTATTGCTTTTACACATAGACCATTTAAACTTGAAATAAATATTGTTCAGCTGTTATTTCATGCAGTGGTGAGGCCTTGCGCATGATGTTAATCTTTGTGTAATGGTGTAAAAGCTAAAGGAATAATCCAAAAACCATCACCACTACAGCATAATGAATGCTCAATGCCCCTCTGTAAGTAGTCAAACTATTTGCTAATGGTTTGACAACTTACTTGGGTGCTTCCTACTACAGAGAGGCACGAAGCGGCTCTCGGCTGACCCCAGGTAAGTAGTCAATGGAGGGGATGGCCAGCACCTGGTGGACATCACGCAAGTTGTCAAAACATTAGCAAACTTACACAAGCCCTCTCGTTCCTCAGCAACGTTATCTTCTTCCTTATTCAAATCTCCAGCACCTGGTGGCTTCATCTAACAGGAGTTGGATCACTGTTGACCTCTTGTGCAAGCCAGAGCATACATACAAAAGGTTTACTGAAGATATTTAGAAAGCAGATGATCTTTCAAAGATGATCTCATACTCGCACAATGAAAGTCCGTAGCCATCGAGTGAGATGGTGCCTGTTCCAAAGTTTTGCCAAAAAACATTTCTATGCATGCATATCTTCTGATTGTGTTGAGAAATTTCAATGCAATCTACAAGGGTTTTAAGATTAATCCTTCATAAAATAAGAAAAGTGCTAGTGCTGCATTAGGACAACGAAAAGAATGGTCATAATTACGTTTAAGGGTTTAGGGGAGTTCAATATTAATGAGCATAAAAGCTATAACGATACATTCTGAACGTGTGAGGTTATTACAGAATCTAAGACCAAATAAAGCAGTGTTAGAAATAAAAGCTGGTCTATTTTCTTCTAACCACAACTCGCTGTTTACATAATAACTAACCCTCCCCCTCAATCTCTGGTCATTTTTTCCCATTCATTTCATAACCACAGTAATACTTTCTTATTGTTATACATTAGCATTAGGGAGGAAATTCGTTAAAGCAAAAAAATAAAAATAAAAATCATGTTAAATGTTATATAATGGCCAATCAGAAACCAACCCTAAATGTTCACCCATAAAATATAAACATACTACGTAGTACTCATTGACGAACTCTACCCTTCTCATGCACTACAACTCCCATAATCCCCTGTCATTCTAAGACATCTTATAAGAGAGCAAAAGTAGAAGAACACTCAGGAAGTACAATAAAAGTTTTGACAAAACGCTGGTCCTCCATATGCAAGCCTCTATTTTTTCCATTTATTGTTTTGCACATATTTTAATGCATGATCTGTTAAAATACTAATAACTGGCCATCTCCAGCCTGTTATGGCTCTTTAAATGGTAGCTGTGTGCTTTGAGGTCACAGATGGTAAATTCTTTTTTTTTCTGTGAAATGGAAGCTTTCTGAAATGAAACCACTGACTGATGAGAAGCTTCTTCCTCTTACTCGGTTTGATCAGGTGCCACTTGGTTGGCTCAGCCTGCTATGCAGTGTCATTCTATAGAGCTGCTATGAACTGCACTTCTCATGGAGCTCAGCCAGCCATCAGAGTAACACAGGACTAGCAGTACCTGGAATAATAATCTGCTCTATATTACAGCTGACATGGAGATGGGTGGCACTGGTGGTGCCCCCCCAACTGACCCCTCTTAAGTCACTTCCTATGTGCAGCCAATAGCAAGCAGTCTGCGAGTTGCATTTCCCAGATCTGTCAATCAAAACTGCAACCCAGGAAACTCACCTTCCTCTGAATAATGGGAGAGTGTTAACCCCTTGTGTACAGATCCTGCCCTCTCTCACTATGCACACACCTGGCTGGGGGGGTAACCTGCTACATGGCATTCCATACAAACATTGTATCTCCCCACTCACCCTGCTGGGACATTAGGGACTGCAGGCAGGTCCTGGAGCCCTGGGAGAGCAGGAAGCACGCTTTGCATGCGGTGGACTTGCTGAAAGTGATCTGCAGTAACCGGGGACTGTACCCAAGGACAGCGAGGACCCTCCCAGCCTCGAGAGTATTGAGGGGGAGGCTACACTGTGCTTCTTCCGTTTGGAACGCTTCGGCAGTGCGCATACGCCACCTGCTGGCCTTATTCAGTATTGCACTTATTTAGTTAGTATTGGGAATCTTTCATTAACCCTTTAAGGTCAGAGCTTCAGAAGCTTGGCTTTCACTTAATGACAACAGCATTTTTTGATGGCCACCTCCTGGCCCCCTTGTCATAGGGCTTCTCTCGGCACCCCCACCTTCAGTCTCCTTGAGTATCGGCCCGGTGAAAATTTTCGTGTTTTTTTTTTTTTTTTTACAGTTTTTGCAATAATAATGTGTGCATAATTAGTGCAGATTAAGGAAAGTAAAAAACGGGTCGCAAGAGTATTCTGAGAACGGACAGCAGCTAAAATAGCCTGCCCTTCGGTGGGTCCCCGCTCAGAACTCAAGCTGGTTTTAGCTCATCTTGTGTTAAGGAAAGTAATTAAAAATAAATTCATTTAGTTGTTCTGATTTACAGAATATATAATGTGTCTGGGATTTTAATTTTTTTTTGTAGTTACAGGTCACAAAGCACAAGGAGTAAAATAAACTTTTAAAGGACCACTATAGGCACCCAGACCACTTCAGCTTAATGAGGTGGTCTGGGTGCCAGGTCCAGCTAGGGTTAACCCATTTTTTAATAAACATAGCAGTTTCAGAGAAACTGCTATGTTTATTAATGGGTTAAGCCTTCCCCCAAAGCCTCTAGTGGCTGTCTCATTGACAGCCACTAGAGGCGCTTGCGTGCTTCTCACTGTGATTTTCACAGTGAGAGCACGCCAGCGTCCATAGGAAAGCATTGTAAATGCTTTCCTATGCGACCGGCTGAATGCGCGCGCAGCTCTTGCCGCGCGTGCGCATTCAGCCGACGGGGCGGAACGAAGGAGGAGAGCTCTCCGCCCAGCGCTGGAAAAAGGTAAGTTTAAACCCCTTTCCAGAGCCAGGCGGGAGGGGGTCCCTGAGGGTGAGGGCACCCTGAGGGCACTATAGTGCCAGGAAAACGAGTATGTTTTCCTGGCACTATAGTGGTCCTTTAATGTGGAGCAATTTTCGAATTTGGTATGTTTGTCTTGTAAGTTAATAGCCATAAAAGAAAACAAAATTGCCACACAAAAGTATATATTTATATAAAGTAGACATCACAGGCTATTGTCCTAAGGTTATTTTGACACTTTTTACGTAGCCATTTCACTGCCAACCTCACAACCACACAAACTTATAACAAAGAAATTTTCATGTGTATTTTGTAAAGTTGGTGTGTGCTATTCCTGTACAAAGTTTTATTTTGTGTTCAGTTACATCTGCTGAGTACAACGATACCCCCATTGTATGTCTTTGGCACTATTTCGTGAAGTTACAGTGCCATATAGGAGGCCTGTTCTTTTCAGTATTCACAGTAGAATTTTGAGAGACGGATTTAATGAGCCTTAGCTTCCATTTGGGGTATTATAGCAGTTTAACTGTTCAAAAAATCCCCACAAAGGCCTACCATTTGTAAAAGTAGACACTCCAGGGTATCTCATAAGGTGCATATTGTGCCTTAACATACCCCCATTTTTTCACCAATATATGTTAAAGTATGTGATACCAAATAATTTTGTGCGTTTTTTACATATGGATTGCATTTTTGCTGGGCATTTTGTATATTTCACATGTGCCACCAAGTTCAAACCTCTCAAATTATGCTCAGCTAAGTCTTCTGAGTAAAAATATACCCCCAATGAATGTCTTTGGCACTATTTTGTGAAGCTACAGTGCCATATAGGAGACCAAGCCATATCAGTTTTTACCGAACTTTGAATTTTGACGCTGGGCCTATGTGCAATTTCCAAGCATCTTAGCAGGGTTTAAATTCAAACTACCCCACAAAGGCCTACCATTTCTTAAAGTAGACACCCCAAGGTATTTCAAAAGATATATTTTGAACCTTAGCGTGGGATCATTTTTCCGCTAGCTTGTACCAAGTGTAGTAGTAATAAGTGTTTTTTCTGCCTTTTTGACACACAAAGTGAGTTTGCACAGTATATTTTGCAAACCTTATGTGTGCTACCAGTGTATAATACTTCATATGTTGCTCAGCTATGTCGGCTGAGTACAGCAATACCCCCGTATGTACCTTTGCCAGGTATATGTAGACATCGGAGGGGCACATTTGGGACATAGCCATTCCATTTTTTTTCAAACTTTACATTTTTACGCTGTGCCCATGTCCCATTATAGAGTATTTTACCAGGCTATATAATCCAAATACCCCATAAAGCCATACCATTTCTTAAAGAAGACATCCCAGGGTATTACAAAAGGCATATTTTGAACCTTAGCATGGGATAATTTTTCCGCTAGCTTTTACCAAGTGTAGTGGTAGTAAGTGTTTTTTCTGCCTTTTTGACACACAAAGTGAATTTGCACAGTATATTTTGCAAACCTTATGTGTGCTATGACTGTATAATACTTCATATGTTGCTCAGCTATGTCGTCTGAGTACAGCAATACCACCGTATGTACCTTTGCCAGGTATATGTGGATGTTGAAGGGGCGCATTTGAGACGCAGCCATTCAGTTTTGTTCTAACTTTGAAGTTTTACGCTGTGTCCATGTTCCAATTTGGAGTAGTTTAGACGGTTGGTTATTGAAACTTCCCCACAAAAACATACTATTTATTAAAGAATACACCCTGGGGTAATTCAAAAGGCATATTTTGAACCTTAGCGTGGGATCATTTTTCTCTAGTTTGTTCCAGGTGTAGTGGTAATGAGCGTTTTTAAATGTATTTTTGTACTTTTTGAAACGTTTTACTTTTAAAAACTAGTTTTTAAACTTTTGCTTTGCTTATTAATTTTTTTTAAACTTTCCTAAACTTTCTTTAAACTTTTTATTACAGATTTAACATTTTTCTAACTAACAGTAAATCGCCCATTTTCCCATAACTCCCACACACCCACCCCAGCAAGCAAAATATATAATTATAAATTATTTTAATTAATTAATGAAATAAATTGAACCCCTGAGGGTTAAAAAATAAATAAAAGTAAATCCTCAGCATTTTCCCATAACTCCCACACACCCACCCCAGCAAGCAAAATATATAATTATAAATTATTTAAATTAATTAATGAAATAAATTGAACCCCTGAGGGTTAAAAAATAAATAAAAGTAAATCCTCAGCAGTTAAAAAAAAATTAGATCGCAGTATAATACTGTGATCTGTATTTTGATCACTGTAGGCAGTGATCGACTGGCAGGGAAGGGGTTAATTTTTATTTGGACTGGGTAAAGGGGGGTGTTTTTTTATTTTTTACTTAAACGTTATTAAAGGACCACTCTAGGCACCCAGACCACTTCAGCTTAATGAAGTGGTCTGGGTGCCAGGTCCAGCTAGGGTTAACCCATTTTTTTATAAACTTAGCAGTTTCAGGGAAACTGCTATGTTTATAAATGGGTTAATCCTTCCTCCAATTCCTCTAGTGGCTGTCTCATTGACAGCCGCTAGAGGCGCTTGCGTGCTTCTCACTGTGAAAATCACAGTGAGAGCACGCAAGTATCCATAGGAAAGCATTGTAAATTGTAAATGCTTTCCTATGCGACCGGCTGAATGCGCGCGCAGCTCTTGCCGCGCGTGCGCATTCAGCCGACGGGGAGGAACGGAGGAGGATCGGAGGCAGAGAGCTCCCCGCCCAGCGCTGGAAAAGGGTAAGTTTTACCCCTTTTCCCCTTTCCAGAGCCGGGCTGGAGGGGGTCCCTGAGGGTGGGGGCACCCTCAGGGCACTATAGTGCCAGGAAACCGAGTATGTTTTACTGGCACTATAGTGGTCCTTTAAGCTTAATTTTTAACTTTTTATAGTTTAATTTAAAACTTTTTTAACGTTAACCCCTAGTTAGCCTAACACCAAATCCCCCAATTCCCCACTAACTTCCACCCACCCCAGCTAGCTAAATATATAATTTTAAAATATTTAAATTAATTAATTAAATAAATTTAACCCCTGAGGGTTAAACAAAAAAAAGAATTAACCTTGTAGTCAGTGATCAATTGGCAGAGAAGGGGTTAATTTTTTATTAAAATGGGTAAAGGGGGGTAGGATTTTAAATTAACTTTATTTTTTACATAGGGGGCAGGATCATCACTGTTCCGGCTCCCTGCACTTCACACAGAACCAGGAAGTGCAGGGAGGCGGAAGGTGAGTATATGGAGCACATGTGCTCGCTCTGACAGCCTCCGCGATCCAGGGTTAATTTTAACGGGTTACGGACAAGGTCCATCACTCGTCGTTATGGCAATCCCCTGAGTGACAGACCTTGTCCGTCACTCATCATTAAGGGGTTAATAATACAATTTAATAACAATAAACAACAGTAGAATTAGACAATGGAGAGGTCTATCAAGGTTAAACGTGCTATTCTGGGTGCTAAGCGGTGAGAGGCTGTTGAGGTCAGTTGTATCGCTTAGGCTTGATGTATTAAATTATATATATTAATTAAAGGCTTTTTAGCTGTCTCAGTGAAATGTTTTAAATTGCTTAATGCCTGCTAAGCATTTACTGAACTGCACCCTGAGATGTGCTGAGCAGGCTCGCTTATCTACCCCTAACATACAGAATTGTGCGTAATGTTAGAACTGCTGAGTTTGCAAAGTAAACTGTGCCAACTGTGATTGGCTGAATAATGTGTATCACCCTAGACTGAAAATCTATATATCCCCTTTGCTGTGGGGATTTAAACGGAGAGGCTTGATTGAAATACATTACGTTGTCCTGTGTGTGTTATTTCTAACGGGCCTTTTCCCAAATCTGGAAGAGATATGAGAAAAGCAGAAACTCAGTGACACCATTGGAGTTTGAGACCTGAAATATCCAGCCTTACAGAGACATTATATTGGTTTCCATGGCAATGGCTCCTTATTTAACACTTTGCTACTAATAACACCTGCTTATACCTTGATAAATTTCCAGCAGTGTGCTACAGGAGGAAGGAGAATCAATGTTTCACAGCCTTAATTAAGTAGTTTATATTTACACAAAAAGTAAAATAATTTGGGATATCATATACGTAGGGAGCTCGGAGTTTTCATGCAGATACCTCTGGTTGAGATGGTGCCAGGCTAGGTGACATGATATCCCCTTAGATATGAATGTAGCAGATAAGAACTTCATTGCATACTGCCCAAGTTTGACAATAAAGTCCTGCCCCTGTCCTGACATACCTGGTTGGTGCTTTGATGGTCAGCTTTCTTCATTAAACACACTTTTTTTTTAATAGCACACTGTGTACGACTAGCGGAGGTGGGAGAGGGGGGAATATCTAGCGTCTTCCAAGATAATACTCTCCAACTTTATTTATTCTATTTAAAACACATTCTAAAAAATATTACTCAATCGGAGCAACCTTAAAGGACACTATATTCACCAAGACCACTTCATGTCATTGAAGTGATCTGGGTGCATTGTTCCTGTTCCTTTAATCCTGCAATGTAAAACATTAGTTTTAGAGAAACTGCAA